GCATGCTAAACTATTACCGAGAGCTGTTTATCTGTTAGGAACATTGACCGAACCGCAGTCTAGCCAAGGGCTCTGTATAAGAGAATCTTCCCTCTGATTTATATCTGGTGACGACGGCATAAATTAAAATAAGGACGCATGACCACTGAGCGAGACTCTGGTAAATAAACCGTGAAACTCTGACCAATGTAAGGAAAGATGACTCACACCTGACTTGTTTTAGCTCTTTTGGTCTAATTAGATATGTTGCCGTCTGAAAGCGAACTGCACCAAGAACAAAGAGCAACAATGAACCAATTTGAATCCTTGTTTCGGAACAAATGAATCGATTCACTAGTATGAAAGCATCCTTAGTTTAACAAAAAAATGTAAAAAAAATATTGGACCAGGACTAATCTCTGCTGAAAAAATGAATTAATAAATAAATTCTGTGAAGTACTGTAGGTTTCAAACCTTGTTTATCTATATTTTTCTGGTCAGGACCAATATATGAGCAGAACCTGCTTAAACCAGCATCAAAACATACCCTGCCAGCAAAGGAAAAGCAAGTTCCGATAAATGACCAGCAAATTGGAGAACATTACAACATTTAAATCATTGTATATTATTTATAAACAAACTGTAAAAATGTTTGCTAAAAAGACAAGGAGCTATCATTATTGGAGCTGTACTGAACTACATAAATTACTAGCATTTGACAATTTCTTAGTTTATGCTGATGTGTGTTTAATGTACAAAATATTTAATGATCTTACACCACTACCTCTCAAACGATTTGTGACTGTCTGCAAGGACAAAATAAGACAGAATAGGTCATCAGTTAGAGGTGATTGTTCAGTTAAAATCAAGAGAACTGTTTTTGGACAATCAGTTTTTTTCAGTCAGAGCAGCAGAAAGATAAAAAATAAAATACCAGGAAATATCATAGAGAGAACCACTGTAATGTTTTTAAACTGTCCTTAAAGTTTGGCTTAAAGAAAATCAAATATACCACCACTGGTTTTATTTTATTGACTGTGATGTATTGTACTGTAACAATGTAACATATTGTACTATTTTTTTATATACATTATTAAACTTGTTACTTCCTGCCTAAGGACTACAGATGTAAATTGGCTTCATACAGTAGCTAACTCTGGCAGAACATGGCATGTTGTACGTTGTCCTTGAATAAATAAATAAAATAAAAAAGTAAGACTTTAAACCATCAAACCAGCATCAAATCCTACCTTACCAGCATATGTTGTTTTGTTTTTTTCAGCAGATGAACTTTGGTACAGCTTGACTAAAATATGAACACAACATGGACCAACGATTTCAACACAAAGTAAAATCTGGACATGATGTCACAAGACGTGATCAAAAAAAGAACACAATGTTAACCCATTTGTTTTTGTTTTTTTTTTCAATGTCGTATTTCCATCTCCTGTTTGTAATAAAATTATTCCTGGTTCCTATTTGACCTCTTTACACGTTTTATAATGTTTTCACGAACTGCTAAAAATACCATCACATGTTGCATATATAAGGAGCTCATATAGCTCAACATGGTATATTTGTTTGGAAGTAAATTTGGTTAAAAAAAATAATAAATAAAATAAAAAAACCTAAAGAAAAGTGCAGTTCATGATTTTATGATTTTTATTTCCACCATAAAAAGGATAATAATCCTTTATTAATAATAATTAAAATATAATTAAATAATCAATAATTGTCTCTTTCCTGATACGAAAAGAAAGTAAAAATAAGAGTACCAAACTACTACCTAATTTAAAGATTCAAATTGGTTTAATCGATTCACTGAAAAATAATAATTACAAATTATCACAGAATCGAGCAACTCCTGTCCGACAGTCAACAAAAAGCACATATAGATTAAGTTTGTTTTACATTGGCACATTCGTTCAGTGACAGTTTCATACATTGTTTACTTTGAATATTCAGACTGAAATTACATGTAAGTAGGACTTCAAAACAATATTAGCACTATTTAATTGTCTGTGAACATTGTTGTTCTTGGTTGTTGGCTGCTAATATGATTCCACTATTTAGAATATGCAATTGATACTTTTCTGAGAATATATTAATAATGAGAAAGACTGAATGTGTGAATATAAAACCAATTTTAGCTAAGTGTTTAGATTGTAGGCTATAAGTAGAATATAGCCCACATCAACTACTGATTTGTATGGCCTACAACAGTAAGTCCTATTTACTGTATTTAAAATAACTAAATTAATAAAAATAAAGAGCAAAAATGGAAGCAGAGGCCCTTGTTTACTCATACCGAGGCAAAGATCCCAGCGGAGAGAGAATAATGAGCATCTTACCAGTACAGTTGTCCAGCATGTGTCAATCACTGAGACATTTGTCAACTCTCTCGAAGAGTAAGGTCTACTGCAAAATGTCGATTGTAAACTTAAATCTTGCTTCGAATCAGTACTGTTCAAACTTTGCAAAGTGACGTGAAACAGTGTGCATAAGCTAGTTTTATACTATAGACAATGCCGCTTTACTGCATTTTAAGGGGAAATACAAAACAAACAAGTACTTTCTTAACTATCACAGTGAGTTAGTTCATCGTACATAAAAACATCACAGTGAGTGCATCGTGTTTTCAAACGCGTGAGGAAAAACACATCGTTATTGTATTTATTCGAAGAACCACAAGGTGGAGCACATCCCCTTCTTGCTGAAAACATCAAATTGTGTTTCCATGTAGAAACATCGTCTTTGTCAAATAGTGTAATTAATCAATTAGATTGCTTAATATAAATAATAATGAATATGACAAAATTATTTGACTCAAATAGTATAAAGAGAACCAAATACCCCAATAACAAAATATTTTTTTTCTTTACACACACAACACTCAAACAACATACATGCATACAGACAAATATATCGATTAAATAAATTACTTATATATATATATATATATATATATATATATATATATATATATATATATATATATATGTATGTGTATATATATAAATGTATGTGTATATATATATGTATATATATATATATATATATATATATATATATATATATATATATATATATATATATATATATATATATATATATATATATATATATATATATATATATATATATATATATATATATATATATATATATGTATGTGTATATATATAAATGTATGTGTATATATATATATATGCAACATGTTACAATTTACTCCAAATCTACATGAAAATAGCAAGAAATGTCAGAAACTATAATGTGATTTAATACAGATCCTCAATTGAACTTCTTTGCTTAATTGTGATAGACTATGTTATTGTATTAAATACAATTAAACACATAGTTACACATTAAGACATAATGATTTAGGGTAGTGAACTTCCTACATTGAAAACAAACAATCCCATTTTACACTTGATTTGCTCGTTGAGGATCATTACTTTTTTTTTCTTGTATCTCAACAATTAAACAAACAAAAGGTTACTTAAAATTAGAAATGATGTAATGTATCGTGCATTTATATAGCACATTTATCATATTTAAAATCAGTTGAAACAACACAAGTCTTAGTTTTTTGGGGGGGAACTTAATTTTTTATGTCAATCTACTTAAATTAGTAAAAATGCTAAAGTTAACTTATTTTATTGTGTTGGGACAACATGAAGGAATTGTGTGGAACCCTGTATTTTTTACAATATAGCTTGGGCAGGCATCACTGGTCTAGAGATATAATAATGCTATGTACAGTTATTATACAGTTGTTTAAAAAGGACACGTTCGCTATAAAATCTATTTTCAAAGCAGAAAATAAAGATAACTTAAGTATAGAAAGTGCTCTTTAAGTTTTTTCTGTCAAAGCTTAGCCTTAATCCAATGTGCTGCTTGCCTTTTTCTTGCTGCTGACAGGACATATTACTGTTCAAAGATCATCTTTAATATTTCTTTGAACCCATTGTTGATGAATTAACCTTTGCCTTCTGACACTTTTTCTGGTTGTTGCTGACATGAGGAAAATGCGTTTGTGACGAAAGAGTTTAAATATTTGTTTGAAGCCAGTAATGATGAATTAACCTTTGGCCTCTGTCAGTGTTGTTGTTGTTGTTCTTTGTATTTACAGTTAAGATCAGTTTAAAAAGTACAACACATTTGGGTTTGGGTTTCAGGAATAACCTGACTTCTGTGATGCAAACTTTTAAATATGCAGCAAAACAACACTCCAAAACAGGTTAATGCTTGCATATGGCTTTTTTATTGTCACAAGCTGCATTATTCTTAGAAAGTGATTGTCTATTACTGTCAACTGTACCATATTGGGAAACAGTATAGTACAATATGCTTTTATAACAATGTATTTTTTTTCCATTTCTGTTTATTTGTCGTTTCTATGAAATCATTGTAAATAATCTTCTTAATGTGGCTCAAGAGATTTATTCACAATGATCTCACACACATGCATTTTTAATGTTTGAAACATTTGAAACATCAGTGAAGACATATTTATTAATGCCTTGTTAATGAAAACACATACAAATATGATTTTCAATGCATTTTAATTTATAGTTTTATATATTTTATCCCACATAAGTAATGATTAAGGAAGCCCATTTCTGCTATTAAAAATAAATAAAGTTTATTTCTCACATTTCTCTTCTTTTTCTCTCTCAGAATAGCTGTTGTTGCAATATCAAGTTATAACGCACTCATTTTTTAGATTATATGATACATTTTTTGAGAAAAGCAACTATTGCAAGGTCTTAAGTACATTGCAAGACTGTCAACACAATTTTGAGGTGGAAAAAATGTTGAGATTATGAGAAAAATAAAAATGTTAAATTAGAAAGATGTAAACAAAATTGGGAGAAGTATAAGCAAGATTTATAAGTTTATGTATCTGCAATTTGAAGAAATACAACTTAGAACTCTGAGATTATCACAAATGTGATTTTTTTTTCTTTATATACATATTATTTATTTATACATTTTTTTTAAAAAGGGACAGTCAGATTTAAACATTTAACATTATAAAAAAGTTTAAACTAACTCAGAATTGCAAGATATAAAGTCATAATTCTGACATAAAAATGAGAGGTTATCTCAAACTAAGGAAAAAAATGTCAGAGTTGCTATTGCAATAAATAGTCAGAATTGTGAGTTTATCTCTCACAATTTATACATTTTTCAAAACATCTAGAATGGCCTAAAAAAGTCATAATTTTGAGATGTAAACTCACAACAACTGTGAAAAAAACATACTTTTTTCACAGAACTGCAAGGTTGTATCTCATAATTTCAAAGTACCACATTAATATCACACAATCCTGAGAAAACAATTAAATCATTGTTAGAAATGAAGTCAGAGCAGCAAGATGTAAATATAAAAATGCACAAAAGACTATAAGTTTGAGTTCATATCTCTCAATTCTAGCCTTTTTTTCCAGAATTCAATTTCTTGGAATTCAGAATTCCATTTCTCAGAGTTCTAACACATAGTAAAGCCAATATCCCAGTGATTATTATAATGTATAATCTAATAAGATATTAGAAAACAATAATTATAGAAACCACTATCATAATCAGAGATGCGCACAGACTTGCAGCCATGGACACCAGCACTTGGTTTTGGGCATCTATATCTATGAATAAATAAGGAGGGGGAAAGGGAAGTAATTTATTATCAATTGCATGAATGAAATGTGTCAAATTTACATGATCAACAATGTCAAAACAGTGTAGATTACATAGCAGAAATCACCTTTGACATTAGAGTGTATCCTCAACGGACCCACAGAGACAGAGGAATTGTCCTGTAAGTTCACCGATCTGATCTCTCTCTGGATGCGTCCAGAGCCACAGTCCTAAAAGTTACAAACACAACGTACACTACCAGTCAAAAGTTTGGGATACAGTTCTGCTCGCTTTACATTTAAATTGACGACTTACTTATTGAATGTAGAGAAAGTTTAAATTATTTCTGTGTTTAAAGCTGAATTTTCAGCACAAAAATATGCTGTAATACAGTTTACTGATTTTCTATACTTTTGTAATCAATTAATTGTACTAATTCATTTTGCTTCAGATTAGTCTCTGATTTATCAGAGGTTGCCACAGCGGAGTGAACCGCTAACTATTCCTGCATGTGTTTAATGCAGCATATGCCCTTCCAGCTTCAACTCAGTGATGGGAAGCACCCATACACTCTACGCCCAATTTAATTTATTTAATTCACCAATTCTGCACCCAGAGGAAACCCATGTGAATAAGGGGAAAACTTGCAAACTCCACAAAGAAAAGCCAAAAGGCTCAGCTGGAACTCAAACCAGCAACCGTCCTGGTGTGAGGTGACAGTGATAACCACTGAGCCACCGTGCTGCATATTTGTACTTCATTTTTACAGATTTTTTTTTACTTTTACACTTGAACAATTGGTCACACTTTATTTTAATGGGCTGTTTGTTGAGTTTAAGTTCCATTGCATCGGCATGCCATCTAATTATCATTAGATTATAAGTAGATTGTTAGGTTGGAGTTAGTATAAGTTGACATATACTTACAAAGTTTCTTAAAGTGAGGATCACCTGCTTATAATTGCTTGCAACTGGCCCCGCATTATTCAATCTATGATTCAGTATTTTTTTTAATTCTATTTATTTATTTATTTATTTATTTATTTATTTATTTATTTATTTATTTATTTATTTATTTATTTATTTATTATTATATAAATATATTTTTAGGGCTAGCTGTGCACCAGTAGAGCTTTATGTCTAGCAACGCCCCTGGAGGGAGCCCTGGGCTCGAGGATCTTATGAGCTCAGGGCTCTCTCCAGTGACATTTATAATATTTATAATCAATCATCACCTAAGTGTGAACTCTTAAAATGTCTGTTGAAGGAGCAGTATCAGAATTAAGCAGAGAGTTTACTAACACTGAAATGGACCATCAAAATAAAGTGTAACTACATTATAAAATTACCTTTAATGTATCAATTTTCACATAAATATAAACTATCTCAATGGTTTTCAACACACATACAGCATGATTATAACAATACTACTACGAATAATAACAATAATACATTTTTCATGTGCAGCAGATCATTTTATAATGATTGTTGATAAATCGCCTAAAATAAAAGACTGGGATAATGAATCAAAAAAAATATCACTTGAATAAATTACATGTAGTTAAAACATTCTAATTATTTTATATTGTAATACAATTGACAGTTTTTGATTTTAGATTTTTTTTGACTGTACTCTTGATCAAACATAGTCTTGGAGAGCAGAGTAGTCTACAATTGAACAATGAATCCCACAATTTTATAATAAAAAAAAAAACATCTTAGTCAGCAGAAAACAACCACAAGTTTCAATAAAGTGTGTGTGCTTCATCAATGCCAATTCAAAATATCTGAAAGAGGATCTGTAAACTCACCACGGAGCAGTTACTGTTTGTCAGACTGCAAAGGTGAACAGTGCAGTATAGGTAGGCTTCAGTGGCATTTTCAGTGAAGATAGACATGTTGAAGGAGAAACGGCTGGATATGGAAACACCATTCTGCAGAACCTTCACTTGGCTATTTGGATTGGGACACCTGGATATAATGATAATGATTGATAATGGTATAATATAATATAATATAATATAATATAATATAATATAATATAATATAATATAATATAATATAATATAATATAATACAATACAATACAATACAATACAATATAATATAATATAATATAATATAATATAATAATATAATATAATATAATATAATATAATATAATATAATATAATATAATATAATATAATATAATATAATATAATAATATAATATAATATAATATAATATAATATAATATAATATAATATAATAATGATAGCATATAATGGACAATAATACTACTACTACTTCTAATAACAATAATATTATTATTATTATTATTAATAATAATAATAATAATAATGATGATGATAATAATAATAAGAAGAATAATATGTTCTCTGAAAAAAGGTGTAATTTAATTAATGTCAAATAAATATTTGAGAAAATCATTAAAATTGCAACATGTGCACACCTAAAATGGTAAAATGTAAATAAATGTGTGCTTTTATATTTACTGTAAATTGTTTCTTCAAGGAAAAGTCATCAGGAATATTTAAAAATGAATTATTTTCCAATTAATAATGAAAAATACATATAAAAAAATACAATAAAAGGTAGTAAAATAATAAGGTAAACATGTGGCTTACTTGTCAACAATGAGGTCCCAGAAGACTGAATTATCAGAATCGTTTCTTGGTGTGGCCCAGCATTTGTCAATCACTGAAGCAACCTGAAGACTGTCAACCGCATCAGCATAAACCTCCACAAAAATCTGCTCGTTCAGGCTTATATTCACCATCGAACCAAAAGGCTGAGAAAATTCAGCATCCTTATAAGGGATCATCCTGACCTTATACGTCTCTTGAACTGCAGGAACGATCCCTTGCACAGTGCTTAAAAAATAACAGAAGATTGTTCTTAAAGCTGTTCATGTGGTTTTAGTAAATTTTACCATTTATAAATGCAAGTCGCACCTCCCCTGAGGGTCAATGTTCATGTAGAAGGTTTGTTCTAATGAATAAACACACTGGAAATGTATCTTCAGGAATTGTGTCCTGCTGATAACAGGCCCAGTTCCAGATTCACCCAGAATTAAGTTGTCATAGATGATGTGGGTGCCATTTTCCTGTTGAGGGGAAGATAATTTGAACATTTAAGGCAGCAATATACTAAACATCCTTCAAGAGTTCACACTTAGCTGATTATTGACTATAAAGCTTGTGTTGCATGCTGTCCCCAGCAAAGAGCCCTGAGCTTATGAGTTTCTCGAGCCCTGGGTTTCCTCCTGTTTGCAGGGCAAGAGGGGAGTTTAAGCTCAGAGAGATCTCGATTAACTTCTCCTGGCTTATTTCTGGCTAATGTCAGATATGGATGGCTGAGTAAAGGTGTACTAGCCAAGAGCTTAACTTTGGTATACATTTTTTGTATGTTCAATTTACTTAGGTTGCGTGTTTTTGGACTATGAGAGGAAACTGGAGAACCCGGGGAAAACACAGGCACGGAGATACAGAGCAAACCAGAGACATTCTTGCTTTGAGGCAACTTTGCTAATCACTAGGCCACTGTGTTGCCCTTCTGGAAAGTAGGGGTGGTTTGGGGTTGTGGGGTCCTGAAGTTTGCAGACAACACCACACTTGTTGGCCTCATTCAGGACGGTGATGAGTACGCTTACAGACAGGAGGTTAAGGAGCTGGCTGTCTGGTGCAGTCACAACAACCTGGAGCTCAACACGCTCAAAACAGTGGAGATGATAGTGAACTTCAGGTAGTCATTCAGCTTCCTGGGCACCACCATCTCTCAGGACCTGAAGTGGGACACTCACATTGACTCCATTGTCAAAAAAGCTCAACAGAGGGTGTACTTTCTTCATCAGCTAAGGAAGTTCAACCTCCTGAAGGAGCTGCTGAAACAGTTCTACACCTCCATCATTGAATCAGTCATCAGCACATCAACAACTGTCTGTTTAGCTCAGCTACCAAATACGACCTCAAGAGACTATGTCGAATAGGACTGCTGAGCGAATCGATGGTACAACCCTCTGTACTCCCCAAGAACTGTACTTATCCAGAGCGAGCTGAAGGGCTGCCAAAATTACTCTGGACCCCTCACACCCAGCACACTGCCTCTTTGAACGTTTACTTTCTGGTTGACGCTACAGAGCACTGCGCACCAGAACAGCCTGACACAAACAGTTTCTTCCCTCAGGCAATACATCTCATGAACACTTGATGATAATAATTGTGGAACCAACATCACTATACTTGCTATACACTTTTATACACATATACACTTATTTACTAAACACTTTACATGACAATTTGCACATAACAGTTGTACTGTATATATAACGCTGTATATAGTAATATAGCTGTACATACACTTGTTTATTTGTATATGTGCAGTCACTACTTGCTGCTTTTTTATTTTTATTTTTTTAAATCTGTTTATTGTATTGTCTCTGTAATTCTGTTGCACTGTAGAAGCTCTGTCACGTAAATAAATTCCTCGTATGTGCGAACATCTGGCAATAAAGCTCTGATTTCTGAGCTGATGCAGGAGCAGCTGAGAACAATCATAAGCATGTGATCCTGTCGAAATTAGTTTATAAGTAAATATCACTTTGCATGGAGTGTCTTTTCCAGGACTTCTCAAAAATTCTCAGTAGGGTTAGGGTCTGGACTCTGTAGTGGCCAATCCATGAGTAAAAAAATAATGTCTCATGCTACCTGAACTTCTCTCACAATTTGAGCCTGATTAATCCTGGCATATAGTATATCCCCACACCATCAGAAAAGAAAAAAGAAAAAACATTGATGAAATAACCTGGTCATTTAGTATATTCAGGTAGTAAGCTGATCTAATTATTTGGGCACGTAACATTGCCCTTAACCTAGACCTGACTAACTGCAGAATCACAGCACTGCCTTCACAGGCTTGTATAGTAGAAACTATGTATGATGGGTGCATCACTTCTTACTGTCTTGTGCCCATCACTCTGAAACACTGTAAATATGGACAATGGTGTCTAGCAAATTGAAGCCTTTACTGATTAATTGAAAAAAAATTAATTAGCTTTACTGATAAGTGGATTTATTAAGGCTTCACATCTGTTTAGTCCAAGTCTCTTGAGTTCCCTTTGGATGATGCATGTGGAAATGCTCTTATATTTTCTAATAAACATAGCCATAGTTCTACTGTTGTTTTTTTTAGGATTTGATTTCACCAGACATTTAAGTGATCGCCAAAGTCAATCATGTTTTTCACAAGTTTTATTCAGGACTACATTCTTCCTCGAAGATGATGGCTGCCCGCAACCCTTCCATGTATTAGGGGGTTCTATATAGTTATATATTACAGTCAAGCCTGAAATTATTTATACACTGTAAAACCCAACAGTCAACTTTATCTAATAAAAAAATGAGTTTAGCAGTTAACTCAAAATTGACTGAAAGTTAATTCTACTCATTTAAAATGTTTTAAACTCAATGTTGTAGGTAATGAGTTAAACACCTCATTACTTCAACTTAAATGGATTAAGTTCACGGTACTCATATAGATAGTTTTTGAACTCAAATGGTTCGTAGCAATCGGTTTCCACAAACAGTTTGAGTTGCCTTAACTTATTAGATTTTACAGTACTCAGTTGGTTTTAGTTCTCTTAATTTATCAGGTTGTACTGTGCTCAAATTGCTTTGTTTACTCAAATGGATTAAGTTCACAGTAGTCATTAGGATTAGTTTTTTTTTTTTTTTTTTTTTTTTTACTTAAATGGTTTGTTACCTCAAAAGGTTTGAGTTACATTAACTTTTTTGAGTTTTACAGTGTACCCCAGGGGTCGTGATTTAAGAAATCTGCAGTTTACTCATAGGAAGCTATGTTCACAATTTTTGTTGCAAGCCTTATGCCACTGGTATAGCTTTATATTTTAAACAATATGGCCAGGACAATGCCACAGTATGGTCGGCTATTTTTTCTTTTTCTTTTGTACAAATTTTTAGTATTAGGATCTTTTATTTTTAGGACTAGATTTATTTTGTCCTTTTTAAGGAAACTTGTCTTGTACACATTAATTCATTACAAGCATTTTTGCGCTCTTCATCCGCCATGTCCATGTTTGTTTAATCTGTAATGTGATAAAGTTTAATGTAATAGTCACAGGTTTCAGCATGAATTTGTGGTGTTCAGAATGACTTGAAAGTCTGGTGCAGTGTATGATCCCCAGATTTGTAGTGTGTAATATCTAGTTTTACTGTGTAACCTTTAAATAACCACCAAGTGTATGATGCCTTGTGCTTTAAAATCTGTACTGATATGAAAACTCATATAGTGTACTCCAACCTTTTCCAGATAGCACAAGTCTCCGAGATGTATTTCAAAGAGCATTTGGTCTAAAAAACATCTATGCATAAAGATCTGCTAATGTCTGTTTTACTTTCTTAATTCTAGACATATATTAAACATCCAGCAGGAGACGTCTATCACCCTGCAGCCCAAGACCAGTTAATCACTGAAGCTAAGCAGGGCTGAGCCTGGTCAGTACCTGGATGGGAGGCCACTAGGGAACACTAGGTTGCTGTTGGAAGTGGTGTCAGTGAGGCCAACAGGGGGCACTCAACCTGTGGTCTGTGTGAGTTCTAATGCCCCAGTAAAAGTGATGGGGACGATACACTGTCATTGGGCCCCGTCTTTCGGATGAGATGTTAAACCGAGGTCCTGACTCGCTGTGGTCATTAAAAGTCCCATGGCACTTCTCGTGAAAGAGCAGGGGTGTAACCCCGGTGTCCTGGCCAAAGTCCCTCTATCGGCCCTTACGATCATGGCCTCCCAATCATCCCCATCCACTGAATTGGCTCTATCACTGTCTCTCCACTCCACCAATAGCTGATGTGTGGTAAGCGTACTGGCGCAGTTGTCTTGTGGCTGCCGTCGCATCATCCAAGTGGATGCTGCACACTGGTGGTGGTGTGGAGAGACCCCCTCATAATTGTGAAGCGCTTTAGGTGTATGGCCAAACAAAATAAATGCGCTATATAAATACACATTACATTACGTCCTATAGACATATTGCAGATGAGAAAACACTTCCAGATGTAAACGCACACATGAAACGAACGTTTCAAAGTTAACCAAAAATCTTAAAGGATTTTATGTTCATATTCCCATATGAACATTTGCATAATGAATCCTACCACAATATTTGCGCCACAGATGTGTTCGTTGTTATCAAAGTAAAACTCCACTTGGCCATCTCGGACTGTTCCTCTGCAGCTGGGGTCATTGAGGTGCAAGACGTCAGAAGGAAAACCAGCATCAAAGAGCTGACAGCGAGACAGAGATATGGAGCCATGACTGCTTTCACAGGTTTCAGTGAAGTCTGAGAGAGAACGCATCCAAGAGAATGTCAGCGATGACCAGGAACCAAAATAAAATCAAGAATGAATATATTTTTTAATGTTGTAGTAAAATGAATCCAACCAAACTTATATGTCTGATGCTTTCTCTTGCAGGAACAACCGTAAATGCCATCTTTCTCTTCACACCGTTCATCCTCAGTGCAGTTAAGCTCAGAGCAGTGACCTTCAAAAAAATAACCACAAGATTAATGCCAATTCTTTCAATGATGTATGATTAACCTTAGATACTTAGACTACATGTAAATATAAATCTACATGAATTTATGATACAAAAGGACACGAAACATCTCATAAAATATGACAATGACATGAAATAACACATCAAATACTTTACCAAGAAATTCAGTAAATGATAGTTCCTCTGTTGTTACCTTGAACGCTAATTCCTGCTTAAAGTCTGTGATAAACAACAGAGGGCAGTGAGTGTGTATTCTGTGTGTTATATGCATGTATTGAACACAAGACAATGCGTTTACCAGCACAGTAAGCTGCACAGTATAGCGGCCTGACAAATTCATACACATAATAGTTTCCTGGGCAGGCTTTGACTTGTATGGGATGAGAAGAGATACCACAACAGTCATTCCATTGGGAACCACACACTTTTCGGGTGACCACTCCATCCTCTAGCAGTGGGTGAGGGCCGTCGAGCCAAAGTGGGTACAAAGTGCCACACGTACCACTTTTAACACACGACTCTGGCATCTGGGCACTCTGATTATTGTAGAACAGCCTGTACCAGCCATTCAAGGGGATGTCGCTATCACATCTTGTATTGTTGTGATCACCAGTCAAAAATGAGCTTGCTCTCCATGGATCATCCAGACTGTTGTAACTATAGCAGGGATCGACACTTGGTGGACTGGTCATAACAACTGTTTAGGCAAGATAAAAGACAATATTGTGGTATTAATGTTAGTTGTTGTGAGGTTGACAATAGGAGTTTGTGTACAATGGGTTCAGTGGTACAAATATTCATACTGAAAAATGTTTGTCTTTGGGATTTAGTCATATTACCACACATTTTTTTTTTCTCTAACTTCTACTTTTTGATATCTATATTTTAACAAAATGTTGGATCTTATATCCCAATCCCAAGACTGATCTTATTTAATTTATTTTGCTTCAGTTTATGCATAAATAAAACTTTAATAGTCACTGTACACTCTCAGAAAAAAATGGTACAATGTTGTAATAAAGAAGGTACAAACAAACCCTTGTCACTGGGGCACTACCTTTTTATGGAACAGAATTGTACCTTAAAACCAAGAAACAAATTCGTACTATTGTAGTTTGTACCTTTAAGTACTTGATTTGTATCATGAAAAACCAAATTGTACCTTTGGTTTTTAAAACCTGGAGAAACATTATTGTGCCTTCATCAAAGATACAAATCTGATCCATAAAGGTACCACTACAGTGACAAGACACTTTGTACCCAACAGTGTCAAATGTGTTTTTTAAGAATGATTTAAAGGCGTTTTGCTTTATCCAAAATGTGTCAATTTATTTTCAGTAAATATTAAAAAAATATATATACATTTTAAACAATGTTTTTAAAAAGTTTATTTTTGTGTAAATGAAGGTGCATTTACACAAAAATAAACTTTTTAAACTATTTTTCCATTTAAAATAGAGAATAAAAAAAAAACTTTAACATACATCAAAAGATGTACTTTTGGCTAAACATTTTACAACACTTTACACAAAAATGTTACAGAAATGCATTTTAATTTTTTTTCTAAAGTTTTCATAAAATAGCTTTGTAATCACTTAATAGTTCATTTTATTTACCTAATTTTAAAATAGAAATATAATTATGTAAAAGTATTGTAAGGAGATAAGCACAATGTTTGATTACTTTTACAGTAGTAAATGTCTGCATGAACACTTTGCATATGCAGGATTTTTGCCAGCTCACTTGTGTAGTGGAAAGCAAACGCCAAAAGGTGCTGATATCAATAATGAAACTGTATATTTATTAGAAAATGCTTACCAAATGTTTATTTAAAATGCCTTAAATGTTTAGTTTACAATATCTATAGTTTTGTTTAACCAGTTTTGTTTTGTATTATTGAACTTAATGATTAATGTTGATGAGTTTCTTTAAACATATGCTTTAAATGATGATTCATGTTTTAATATGGAAATTATTCATAAATCACTTTGCCTTTCCAGTAATATTTATTTCATAGATATTGTAAAAAGAAGGAGTTGTCCAACACTTATGTACCTTTTTAAATGAGAAAAAAGTGTGTACCTTCATTTCAATTGTACCATAAAAGGTACAGAACAGTATCATAAGAGGTCTTTTCTGTACAATATAAGGTGCAACTTTTACAATGGTACAAAACTATTCCTTAAGGAACATTATTTGTACCCCAGTGTACCTTTTTTTTCTAAGAGTGTATGGTACATCTTCTATTAGAGGTTTCTTTTATATTTACTGGTGCTATAACAAGCAGTAAAGGGAAATACATTTTTTTGCATTCACTCATGCACCACTCCAATTGATTATTAGTCAGTCACAATATATCAAAAATATATATATATATATATATATATATATATATATATATATATTTATATATATAAATATATCAAAGAGCATTTATATATATATATACACATACACATACACAACACACACACACACACACACAATTTCATCTTTCAAATTCAGTCATAATTTTTATCAGGTAAGTTAAAACAATATAATGGGTATCACATTATTTTAAAGGTTTACTTTAACATGTTAATTTTAAGTTACAATCAAAGGTTGGGGTTAGGGTTAGTGTAAACTGACAAGTAGAAGCAAAGTTTCATATAGTCAGGAGAAAGTTTGTTGATGGAGCAGTGTAATGGAGGCCAGCTAGCAAAGTGCTATGCAGGTAAACCTCACTCCACTGACCTTTAAAGGTGCTTTAGCAACAGATGCTAGAGGCCATGGTTTTTAGCTTTTTTGTTAGAGCAACAGACTCCCATGCAATGAATCGCTGGTTTATTCCCAGCTCAGACCGGTTTGGGTACAGAAGGACCAGAGGGTTACACCTGGGGGCTCGTGTGGGATGGGAGTGAGGTTTACTGGGGTGAGTGTAAGGGAGAACAGCTAGCAAAGTACTATGCTTTTAAACTTCACTCCTCTGTTCTGTAAGGTGCTTTTAGCGACGAACGATAGAGGCCATGGTCTTTGGCCTCTTTGTTAGAGCAATTGCCTTCCATGCAAATAAGTAAAGTTTATTTATAAACTAATTTCGAAAGGATCACGTGATTATAATTGAACACAGCTGGATCGGCATTAGCATGTATGATCCACCAATCAGGCCATTCCTAACCCACTATAATGGACCAGGATTTCTCACTACAGCCATCTTTGATTTGAAGAATCCCCACTTCCACCTCTACCTACCCACCTTTATCTTCATAGGGCCGCACGGTGGCCCAGTGGTTAGCACTGCTGCCTCACAGCAAAAACGTCACCGGTTCTAGTCCTTCAACAGGCCGGCTGTCGTTTCTGTGCGTAGTTTGCATGTTCTTCCATGCTCGCGTGGGTTTTCCCCCACATTCCAAAAACATGCTCTACAAGTGAATTGATCAATCTAAATTTAACACTACAGTCAAACTATCATCCTGCAGCATATCTCTTCATAACAATCATTTTAGTCATCAGCTCTTGTCAAGGGGGGAGTTGTCGAGATCTACCTGAGCTCAAAGCTCCCCTCTTGCCCTGCAAATGGGAGAGAGCCCAGGGCTCAAGGACCTTTTGAGCTTAGGGCTCTTTATCTGTACAGCATGCCAAACTTGCTTATAATCAATCATGGGAGGGGTGTGAGATTTAGCGGGGTGAGTGTAACCAAGGGCCAGCTAGCAAAGTGCTATGCAGGTAAACCTCACTCCGCTGACCTGTAAAGGTGCTCTAGTGACAGATGCTAGAGGCCATGGTCTATTTGTTAGAGCAACCAACTCGCAAGCTTATAATTGTAGGGTTCAATACCAGCTCAGTTCGGGTTGAGTACAGCAGCATCAGCAGACTTAAAGCAGACAGTCTACCAACAATCTACTGAGAATTATGTGGCATGTAAAGGCAATGTAACTTACAGTCAACAAAATATGCATCAAAATTTAAAATCTGCATTCTGTTGTTTGAATTTTCCTGATAAAACTGATGACTGCATTTGAAAGATAAGACTTTGTCGTACAATTGAAAACTTTTTTAGTTGAAATCATATATTTAACTAGTTTAATTGAAATATTTACTTGGCTATTTAACCAAATGAAGAGAATGACTGTACCTGCACAATATGTGGGAGCTGGGATCAGTTGTTTTGGCTTTACAAGCTTGTAGACGTAGTAATTTCCAGGACAAGCTTTGACTTGGATAGGATCAGATATGTAGTAACTGCACACTTCGAAATAAGAGCCGTAGATGTCACGAGTAACAACTCCATCATCAAGTTGTGGATGTGAACCTCCAAGCCACAGTGAACTAAAACCTCCACATGACATTGAGCTGAAACACCACTCAGGCATCTGAGCATTCGATCCATTAATAAACAGTCGATACCAGCCCTGCCATTGAACACGAGTGTCATCATATCCATATATAGAATTATAAACAAAGAAGAAACCATTTGGGCTCCTGTTTTGATCGTCAAGAATGTTGTAGTTGAGGCATGGGTCATCATCTGTATTCGATACAGCGGCTGATATTAAAAAAACAACAACAATAAAAAAAAAATAGAAAATCAATGTGTAGTATGACATAGTCAAAACCCAGAAACAATGTAAAACCTTGCTGCTCTTTTAGCATTGTAATGAACTTAAAATCTAATGACCCAGAGCTGCTTTATATTTCAAGTGGAACTTAATACTAACAAGACCTACGCAAAGATATGTTGATTGCAGTAACCGTAGCTGTAGTTGTCGCAGATAGAGTTTTCTCATCTGAAAGAAAGGAAAATGAGAACATGACAAAGAAATCATTTAAAACACTACATAAACACGCTTGTCATACTAAACATATGTTGACTTGAGAAAGCCTGAAAGTTTCAAGCAGATTTAATAGCGTCAAGCCAGATGTTAAGGTTGGCAGTTTTAAAAGATAGATGAATAATTACAAACATTTGAGATGAGTCTTTCTGCTTAATATTACAGACCTGTTAAATATTCCAATGCTGTACAGAGTAAAGAGAACATTATCTGTGTGAACAGAACAAAATGAACTCTGTGCTCTTGTTGCAGATATCCTTCTTATGGTAATGTCATTTTAAAATACCAAATATATCATTATTTCCACAAATTACACAAACAAAATGTACTCCTTGTACTACGTTTATAGTTTTCGCTATGGTTGTGGATTATTTAGAGCACAGCCTTCTAACAGCGTTTACATTTAGTTATTTTAAATGAAAGTTTTTCAAACCCAAAACGCATCTCAATAAATAATTTTAAAATGCTTTTGGTATGTAATGGGGGAACAAAATGAATTGTGGCAAGTTTCTAAGCCATAGTGTGAGTCTGTTTAGATTACATTTTTTAATACATCCATCAATGTAAATATGCTTTGTTGTTGTTGTTGCCTCCAGTTTCCCCCACAGATCAAAGACATGTGGTACAGGTGAATTGTGTAAGTTAAAATTTTCTGTAGTGTATGTGTGTGAATGAGAGTGTATGGATGTTATCCAGTGATGGATTGCAGCTGTAAGGGCATGCGCTGCATAAAAAACATATGCTGGATAAGTTGGCCGTTCATTCCACTGTGGCGACCCCTGATTAATAAAGCGACTAAGCCGAAAAGAAAATGAATGAATGAATGAATGAATGTTGTTGTTGCCAGGTTTACAGATCACTTTTAGGAAAACCGTAATAATAATAATAATAATAATTGCGTTTCCGAAAACCAACATTAGCCAACTAAGGTTGCAAGTTCCGTTGTTACAAACATAATTTATTGATTTGGGTTACCCAAATCCATCGTTTCAATAAACATTCGCAAACTTGTGCACTTGCAACTAAACCTCTGGAGTTGTATTTAGAAACATAGTTTCTGGCTGTGTTCTATTCCCACTTATCCCCCATTCATTTAGAACAATATAACATTTAAACTTGGAATTATTATTATTATTTTTTAAAAGCATTAAGGTCATCTCTCTTAGGAGTAATTTGCTTTCAAAGTATTTTTAAAGTTCAGTTTTAGTGATCTTCATGTTTACAATTGAGTTCCCTTCGCAGTGCATTTTGAAAACATTGATGTCATTTTGAACACAGCCATGGCTCATGACAAAAGCTATAGGTGACCTATTATTTAAAAGCGGAATTTATGTTATGTAAAAGCTTGTGAAAACAAACACACATAGCATATGAAAATGATTTTAATTTATGGTAGGGTATTTATTAAGTATCTGTACTCTATATGACATGGGCCAGTTGGTTAGAACTTAATGGTTTGCATGTGTCAAATTGTAAAATAAAATAAAATAAATAAATAAATAAATAAACAATATTCTACCTAATAAAAATAATAATAATTAAAATTAACATTATTAGTATTATTTGATTTTTTTTCATTTCCTAATATATAATAAATATAAAATTTATTTTTAAATAAATATTGTCATTATTTATTTTATGATTTGCATTCATTCATTCATTTAGTCAATTTATTAATCTGGGGTCACCACAGCGGAATGAACCGCCAACTTATCCAGCATCTGTTTTACGCAGCGGATGCCCTTCCAGCTTCAACCCATCACTGGGAAACATCCATACACACTCAATCACACACATACTATGGCCAATTTAGCTTACCCAATTACCCTACAGCACATGTCTTTGGACTTGTGGGGGAAACCGGAGAACCCGAAGGAACCCACACGAACATGGGGAGAACATGCAAACTCCACACAGAAATGCCAACTGACCCAGCCCAGGCTCAAACCATGATGATGATTTACATATGATATTAAAATAGCTTTTGTAAGTGATTTTATGTTTTGGAATAGAATATGTAATGTCCTTAATAATATTTGTAAAGGAAACACAGGCCCTATATGTGCCATTTATATTTCAATTAATATGGAAAGTAAGTACATGTTTTTACCAAAACTAATATTGGACTTTTTTTTTAAAGTGTGTGCTTGCAAAATAAAATAATTTGCATAAAGAAATGATGGGTTTCTTCTCTAAAGAAGTTGTTACCACCCTATTTAGAGCATCATTATAGGCGTTTTAAGTTATAACTAACGTGGTTCAAGCGATGGATCTGCGACAGAGAAACTACGTATTTTGGGAAACACTCGTTACTACATCGTTCTTTTCCTATACGACACATCATACTATGATAATTCAGGCACGAGTTACATTGTTGTTTGGGAAATGCACCCTAGACCTGTCTGAACGTCTGTGCCAAGTTTGAAGGTTGTAGCTCTAAATCTGTCCGAGGAGTAAAAGTCTGAAATTATACAGGACGTCTGCACACAATCTGAGCAGGAACACTTGAAACCGAGTTTAATTTGCAAGCATTCATAAACTTTTACATGAATATGATAGCATGAATGAACTTTAGAACATTATGATTATCACATGACCTACCAGCACCAGTTAAGCTGCTTTCTCAAGCCAAGATAATTACTTAGTAAAATAAATTTGAGAAAGCACCGTACCTATACAATAACCTGAACATAGGGATGTTTTTACAAATTCATACACGTAGTAATTGCCTGGACAGGCTTTGACCTTGATGGGTAAAGAAACGTATTCGCAGCAGCTGGAACCTTCAACCCCACAGACATCCCTAGTCACCACTCCATCCTCAATCTTTGGGTGAGGACCATTGAGCCACAGACTGTGCTCTGCATTACAGCTGTATTCACTAACACAGCTCTCTGGCATCCGGATGTCCAGGCCGTTGTAGAAAAGTCTGTACCAGCCGCTCCAGGAGAAAAACTCTTCACAAATGTCTGATCCACTTTCATTTGTGGCTCTCCAGGGACGATCCAGAGGTTCATAGTTATAACACGGATCTGCACTGATGTTGTTGAAAGCAACTGTTAAGAAAAAAATAAAAAGGTTCTCAGTTCTTCATTGAGACTGATGATGATATTATTTTTCATGCGTTGTGTGCATTGAAATACTGTTTTTTGATTGACTGTCTAAAAGTAGGCACATTTTGTGACAAGGTTAAAATAGCATAACATAGAACTTTTCCTTAAAGGGCCATGACACCCCCCTCTTTCGGTTAAACTCTACTTCAGAATTTTTTCAAAAGATGCATGATTAATGGGCGTGGAGCTCCACGAGCATCGGGCAGGAGTGGGCGTGGCCAGCAGGGGAGAAGGGGAGCGAATAACTGCTGTTGTCAGTTAGCTCACAAAATGAGACACAAAGAGGAGACGCATGAGTTTATAGTTTACAAAGTTAAAATGCAAAGAAATGAACAGTGATTTAATGCCCTGCTACATTTGTTATTTGAAATTTCATATACAGACAACAACAATTTATATCATTATAAAGATGTGTGTTCATGTAAACACTATAAATGAGGACTTGTCCCTCAATCCCCGTATCCAGCAGACTCAGTGCAGCAGGTCTCCTGACCCGTCTATTTTAACCGTTAGCCCTGCTGGTAATCTGGAGGATTTAGGCAAACACAGCAGCACGCGATGTGTCTGAATGTGAACGAACTCCTGATGAAAGACAGCGTCCGCCATTCTTAAAATCTTGGGCTGCTCTCCCGACAAAAATGCTTGCAGCACACACACAGCTTTGCTGTATGATCGGCTCTGACAAGATCGCGGGGGAAAACATGCAACAAACCCCGTGGATGATGGAAACAAACGCATATGAGCCTTCATGAACGGCTAAATACTGTGCCGTGGTTTCCGTGTCTCTCAGCTCGGGCTTGACACTGGCAGGTCTCATGAATAATTAAGCAGCCGGCTCTTCTCATAGGATAAGAAAACTCCGCTATGAATAATAATGAGAAACCAACGCGTCATCATTGCACTTGCAGTTCTGCGCTACGTCGCCGATTTTGATCCCGCCCCAAAAATCATTTTAAACCCGGAAGCTGAAATTAGCTGACAAAAGCTCAAAATTATCCAGTTTTCCCCACAATTAAAGCTGACAGGTGCTAACATTGTCTTAACTGATGCTCAACACACACACATCTGTTAATACAAAAAAAAAGTTCTCAGGGGTGTCCTGAACCTTTAAGGGGGGTATATGCACAAGGACTTTTAATTTCAGTCAGCCAGCCTCAAGGCTTCCAGTTAATTGTCATATGGTACAAAATTTCTGCATTTAGGATCTGATTTCTTTAAAAAAACAGCAGTCTTCACTGCCTGCCCAACACAATCTCACGGCAATTCGTAACTTTTTGATTTAATGGCTAAATTGTATGAATTTGTACGATCTAATTTGTACAATTTAGTACGATTTGCTCATCATCCATTGACGGTTGGGTTTAGAAGTGGGGTTAGGTGCCACAGCTCCTTTTTAAAATCGTACATTTTCGTATGACTGAACTCGTACAAATTCATACGAATTAGCCACTAAGCTGCCAAAACGTAAAATACTTACGGTTTCTCGTAAGATCAGGCTGGCCTGCCTGAGATACGATATAAAGTGAATGTCAGACCAAACAAGAAGCACTGCATTAAATTATATTTTTTTCACGCCATGTCCCTAAAATATGGAAATGAATTTTACCCCAGTATTTTCAATGGAATTTCTGCAGCAGCGCCTGTGTCTTTTGTCTTTTTACGCTTTAACAACCAAATGAATGCTTAAGTCTATTTGCCTGATTATATTTGAATTACATTACAACAGGGATGTCCAAACTCGGAACTGGAGGGCCGGTGTCCTGCATACTTTAGCTCCAACTTCCTCCAACACACCTGCCTGGAAGTATAGGCTGTTTTTCAATTACAATAACGCAGAGAACGGACTTGCGTTCTTGTGGAAACCGGTCTTGCCAGGTGTCCTTGGAAGAACAAACTCAGGAGACCATAAGGACAGAGAACGCATCCTGTGGGAATTGAGATGCTACGTTCTTCCTGATGGTCACATGACCTTTAAGTGTTTTTAATGGAATATTTTTTAAAACATTGCACCATTCATACAGGGTTTTTTGTTTTTATAATACAAATTTCAGCCAATAAACAGTCTTAATGTGTTTATTCCTTTATTAAGATGTCCATGGTAATGTTTATATTCACAGTTTCATTTAGGGAAACTCCTCAGGTAAATAAGTCATATCTCTGAACTTTTATAATAAATCTATATAAAATGCTACGCTTCCCACATCCAGTCGCAATGACTTCTGAGACTTCTAGAGCAAGATCGTTGGTCATGTCTGCATCAGTGCATCCTCGATATCAAGAACACATCCGAGAAGTTTCACACGTCCTCTGTTCTTGCGGTCTTGAGTATTGGAACTGAATTTTGGCAGCTGATGATGATGTTACACGAGAACACAAGGTCACAAGACCACTGAAGAACGCATATTGATAAACAGCCCTAGTATACCTAGAAGGAGCTTGATTAGCTGGTTCAGGGGTGTTTAATTGTGGAGGCAACTAAAACATGCAGGACACCGGCCCTCCAGGAATTGAGTTTGGACAAAACTGCATTACAACATCGATGATGTAAAACAGGGATGTCAAACTTAATTCCCGGAGGGCCGCAGCAGAGTTTAGTTCCAACCATAATTAAACACACCTGATCAAACTAATTGAGTCCTTCAAGCTTGATTGAAACCAGCTTGGTGAACTCTGACCTGCGAAATCGCACCACTTGACTGCGTGAGACCCATCGAGGATCAAAAGATGACCTCTCTGGACAGAAATTTAAAACATGGAGCAATCGCTTGCTTTTTTAATGTCTAATAATCTTAATTAATTCCGCCCCTTTTCGCAGCGCCGTACGACAGAATTTCACACACACAAATTCTAGTGTGACTGCAGCTTTCGTGTGTTGGAGCAGGGTTGGAACTAAACTGTGCAGGGCTGCGGCCCTCCAGAAATTGAGTTTGACATACCTGCTGTAAAACCATATGGAACCATATGAAATTAAAATAGTCAGTTAAAGCTTTCACTTGAAGTTCATTGTTGGCTGAAAAACACTAGCTGCGCATATAGCCCGTTCATACTTTTTTAAGTTACTGTTTCTGAAGCAACAAATAAGCATTTTTAAAAAGATTTCTGAACATTGAAGACTCTAAATACTAGACTAAATCCGCTTTGCCATCACAAGATTAAATAACAATCATAAAATATTAAAACAAAAACAGATCTTTTAAAGCATAAAAAGAAACAGTAACAATATTTCACAACATTAATGTATTTTTTCTGTATTTTAATTAAACATTTTTATTTAAATAAATGTTGCCAAGGTAAGCGTGAAAGACTTTTTAAAAAATTATCAGACCTATTTGTTTGTCAAAATCAGTTCTGAGTCAAAAATTACAGCGTTTGAAGATTTTACAAGCCTCATTTTTTGCATCGAGATGTGCAAAAGCTTATATGTTTTTCCCACTTCTAGTTTTTATACTGTAAATGAGACCGTCTCGGGTTACGTATGTAACCATAGTTCCCCGAGAGGGAACGAGACACTGCGTCTAACCAGAACGCTAGGGGAACACCTCTTTTATACGCGTCTTGAAGCACATGTGAAATCAATCTAATGTAATTAAGCAGGTGTCGTCAGACCAGAGAGTATAAAAGCCTGTACTGAGCATTCAGTATCAACTTCGAATTTGCTTGAAAGAAGTAACAGGCAGAAGAGAGTATGGCGGAATACGCAGTGTCTCGTTCCCTCTCGGGGAACTATGGTTACATACGTAACCCGAGACGTTCCCCTTCTAGGGAACTTCAACACTGCGTCTAACCAGAACGCTAGGGGAACGCAATACCCACTAGGCCAGACTCACTGCTGACTGTGAACGCACACTACGCAGTGAGAATAAAGGACCCTGGTGAGGGGTCTACATCGAGTTGATAGTGACGCACAAATGTATGTGGAGTCGACCATCCTGCCGCCAAACAAATGTCAGAAAGGGCTGAGCCCGAAATAGAAGCTTTGGAGGCCCCGACAGCCCTTGTGGAGTGGGCCTTAACAAATTTAGGTGCAGGGCGTCCAGCAGCCTGATAGGTAAATGAGATAGTCTCAACTATCCAATTACTTATTGTCTGCTTATTTGCCGGACTCCCCCTTTTTGAGGGTCCGAAGCAGACCAGTAACTGTTCACTCTTTCTCCAGTTGATAACCCGGTTAACATATGTATTCAGAGCTCTAACTGGGCAGAGTAAGTTTAACTTCTCTTGGTCCGACGACTGAAATGGGGGCGGGTTAAAGGCCTGTAGCACAGCAGGTCTCGCCACATGAGTGGGCACCTTAGGCACGTACCCCGGTCTGGGATAAAGAAAGGCTTTGGACATGCCTGGAGCAAACTCCAGAAATGAAGGTGCAACCGACAAAGCCTGGAGGTCACCAACCCTTTTTAAGGAAGAAATAGCTAATAAGAAAGCTGTTTTTAGTGTCAGAGACTTATCTGACGCCTCCTGCAGTGGCTCAAATGGGGGAACAGAGATGCCCTCGAGCACCAATGTTAAATCCCATGTCGGTACCCTGTGTGTGCTGACAGGCCTTAGCCTTATGGCTCCACGAAGGAAGCGACGAATTAGCGGATCCTGTCCTAGTGACTCATCATCTAGGGGAGAACGGTAGGCCGCTATAGCTGACACGTACACTCTCAGAGTGGATGCAGCTAACCCAGCAGACAGGCGATCTTGGAGAAATTCCAGCACTGAGGCTACCTGGCAGCTGACTGGGTTCAGCTGGTGTTCTCTGCACCAAGCTGAAAAGAGAGCCCATTTTAGGGCATAAAGCTTCCTTGTGGAGGGAGCCCTGGAGCTTAGAATGGTCTGAGCAACCTCGGTTGACAGTCCATACTCTATGAGGTGGGCCCCCTCAGAGGCCACACCCACAGTTTCCACAGATCGGGTAGGGGATGAAGTATCATTCCTCCCCCCTGGGACAGAAGGTCCCTGCTGATGGGGATCTCCCACGAGAGACCCGCCAGCAGGGCTATGAGGTCCGAAAACCAAATCCTGGTAGGCCAAACCGGGGCTACCAGCAGTAACCGTACTCAGTCTTGACGGACCCTCTCCAGGACTCCTGGGAGCAGAGCGATCAGGGGAAAAACATACAGACGTAGCCTCGGCTATGTCTGAACCATGGCAACCAGTCACGGAGGGGCTGGATGCGAGAGAGAAACTCATAGTACGCAATGCGTGGTCTCTTGGGAAGCAAACAGGTCTACCTGCGCTTTCCTTAATCTTTCCCAAATGGACTCCACCACCTCGGGGTGAAGAAGTTTCCATTCCCTGGATCTCACCCCCTGCCTCGACAGGAGATCTGCTCCCATGTTCAGATGGCCCGGGACATACATTGCCCTGATGGACAGGATTTTGTTCTGGGCCCACAGGAGGATCCGATGTGCTAGTTTGCATAGCATTCGAGACTTCAGACCCCCCTGCTGGTTGATGTAAGCGACCACCAATGTGTTGTTCGTGCAGACTAAAACATGATGGCCCCTTAGATCTGGGAGAAAGTGTTTTAAGGCCAGAAACACGGCCATCATCTCCAGGCAGTTTATGTGCCAGTAACGATGATGTTCTCCCCATCGTCCCGCTGCGGGAAGCCCCCTCAGGGTTACTCCCCAGCCCGTTAGAGAAGCATCTGTCATAAGCATGACGCGATGACAGACAGCCCCCAACACTAGGCCCTGGGACAGATACTAGGGCATTTTCCACATACTTAAGGCTCGAAGGCAGCGCCGCGAGACCTTGATCATGCGGATCAAGCCCGTTGCTCCCTAGCCCGTCAGAGAAGCATTTGTCATAGGCATGACGCGATGACAGACAGCCCCCAACACTGGGCTCTGGGACAGGAACCAGGGTATTTTCCACATACTTAAGGCTCGAAGGCAGTGCCGCGAGACCTTGATCATGCGGAAAGGATTCCCCTTGAGGGAAAACCCCCTGGATTTGAGCCACCACTGCAGGGGTCTCATGTACAGCAGACCGAACGGAATCAAGCTGGCTGCTGCTGCCCTGAGACCCAACAACCTCTGAAAGTGTTTCACAGTGATGAACTGGCCTAGTTTGACTCTGTGTACGGTTGACTGAATCGATTCGATTCATGGCGGGGACAGACGTGCTCGCATCGTCATGGAGTCCCATAGCACACCTAAAGAAATGGTCGTCCTGGCTGGAACAAGCACACTTCTTGCGGTGTTTAACCGAAACCCCAACCTTCTGATATGGGTGAGAACGACATCTCGATGCCGAACTGCCATATCTTGAGTCTGAGCTAGAATTAGCCAATCGTCTATGCAGTTTAGGATACGTATCCCCTGCATACGAAGTGGAGCTAGTGCCGCTTCGACTATTTTGGTAAAGGTTCGAGGTGACAGAGCTAGGCCGAATGGAAGAACCCGATACTGGAACGCTTCGCCCCCGCAAGCGAACCTCAGGTATTTCCTGTGTTGGGGAAGGATGGAAATATGGAAGTATGCGTCTTTCAGGTCTATCGTCACAAACCAGTCCTCGGACTGAATTTGTGACACCACGTTTTTGATGGTTAACATCCTGAACCTGAGGGCCTCGACGGACCGATTTAGATTTCTCAGATCTAATATGGGACGCAATCCCCCATCCTTTTTGGGAACTATAAAATACCGGCTGTAAAACCCTGACTCTTTGTCGAGTGGGAGAACACGCTCTATTGCGCCTTTTATTAATAAGGCCAGTACTTCCTGTTCCGTAACCAGAGCCTGTTCTGGCTTCACTATGGTGGGTGCAATACCGTTGAAGCGAGGTGGGCGTGCACAAAACTGTATTTTGTAGCCGTGTTCTACTGTGAACAGGACCCACTGGGACACCATCGGCAGGTGTTTCCACGCTGCCAAAAAATGTGCTAGGGGTACCAGCCTCTCGAGACTGGCCTCTGGTTGTTCTTTGACCCCCCTGCAGAGGGGGTGGGGCCCCCAATGCCCTCAGACACTGAGGAACGCCCACCCCGGGAGACACAGAGCCCCCCACCAGCATACGTGGTGAGGTGGTCTCTCCCTTTCTCCGCGGACCCTGGTTCAGTGAGAGCGCTGAATGGTGCTCTCGGCGTCCAGGGGGGGCCCTGGAAAGCCTGACTCCCAACACGTCAGGACTTTGTTTTATCCTTTGAACTTCATGATATGAGGAGCTGGTTGACGGCTGGCCCAGACTTTTTGATCTTGGGGGGAGAAGGTCCCCGAGGGAGCTAGAGCGTTTTTTAACTCTGTCGAGGGATTCGGCGACGCGATCAACGGCGTCACCGAAGAGCCCTGAGCTCGATATTGGAGCGTCCATAAGAATAGCTCTATCGGTTTCTGACACTTCTGCTTGTGTCAGCCAGAGGTGCCGCTCAGTAGCCACCAGGGTAGCCATAGATCGCCCCAAACTAGAGGCTGCCTCTTTAGTAGCTCTTAAAGCTAGATCTGACGCCCGAAGAGCTTCTCGAAGCTGTTCGGGTGTTGCTCCCCCACCATCTAGGCACTCTTTAATTAGGTCAGCCTGATATGCCTGCAGCACTGACATGGTGTGCAGGCATCCAACAGACTGACCAGCCGTCATATATGCTTTACTGACTAGACCCGATGTTAATCTTAATGGTCTCGACAACAAAGGAGGGACCCTTGCAGATTTTAGATCTGAACGATGATGACACGCTAAGTCCTCTTCTATCATTGGCATTACTGTACATGCCTTTTCCCCTAGCCCACGAACTGCTGAGTAAATAGCTGTTTTTGGTGTCATTAACCATGCTGAATACGGATTTTTCCATGATTTAGAAACCGCATCATGTAGCTCGGGACAAAAGGGGAGGTCCCTTAGTGGAGGATCTACTCTGCTGGGTAATTCTCTCTCATCCAGCATTCCTGTCAGACGCAGCTGCTGCTGCTCACGTGCTGGCTGCCAATCTATTACATCGAACCGGTCAGCAGCACGTGAAATCACCTCCACTAACTCCTCATATTCCGCTGACTGGGGCGGCAGATTCCCCGACCCTCTTTTTATTTGTTGCTGCGGCGCCTCGGTTTCCTCGGAAACGGAGGACGCCGCCCTCTCACGAGGCGCAGAAGAAACCGCAGAGCGTGCTTCTGACGCTCCCGAAGGAGGATTAGATCTCACGGATCCAGAGAGAGAAAGGACAGAGTCCGTCTCCATCTCATCCGCCAGATCTAGCTGCGAACCCCACGACCGAAGTCGACGCTCAGCCTCAGCACGAGCGGGACCCGAACCGCGAGGAGCGTGCGCCACGGGAGCTTTATTAAAGAACTCTCTCCGACTGCGCAGCTCTTTACGGGAGAGAACGTCACAGTGTCCACAGTCAGCATTCTCAAATGCTACCAGGGCATGCTCTTCTCCCAAACACTCCAAACACAAATCATGTGAGTCACCAGCCGTAATAAAGCGAGGGCATGGAGGCACACAACGTTTAAAGTTTTTCTCTGCCATACCAAAATAAAAAAGTAAGTTGTCAGTTTTTTTGTATTTTGTGTATGCAAATCAGTAATGAAAGATCACAGAAAGAGGGTGTATTTTCACGTGCGTGCTTCTTGAAAGCAAAGAAGTTGATACTGAATGCTCAGTACAGGCTTTTATACTCTCTGGTCTGACGACACCTGCTTAATTACATTAGATTGATTTCACATGTGCTTCAAGACGCGTATAAAAGAGGTGTTCCCCTAGCGTTCTGGTTAGACGCAGTGTTGAAGTTCCCTAGAAGGGGAACCTAAATTCTGATATCTCAATTTGACTACAAAACAAAAAAATATGATTAAACGATAAGGAGAAAAAATTGGAGTAAATCATGATGATGTGAACCCAAAGCAGAAGAGTGATTGTCCATGGATTCTTTCGACTGTTCAAAACTTCTTGTCAGATCACTCAAGTTCAAACATCTTGTCAAATAAGTAATATTAAAACAACAAATCTGTGGCGACAGGTTGGTTTAAAATAGGTGTAAATCTTACCAATATTCAGCGGCAGCAGCGCACACACAGAGATTAGAAATATCATTGTTGCTCACCAATCCTGAAGATATTCAACCTGCATTTAAAAACAAATTTATAAACATATAAATGCAATACTAATACAACAAAACAGGAACTAATGAAGAAAATACAGCATTTAAGGACGCAAAGATAAAGGGTGACATTCGCAAAAAAATGCTATATAATAATCTATTTCAAAATAAAAATAGATGTCTTCACCTGAGATGAAATGGTTCTTCAGAGTGATCTCAGAATGAAGGGCTCTTCAACAGGTCAGACAGAACGCAATGTTGCTGAACTCCACACCTCACATTCTTATAATTCTAAAATTGTAGGAGGATCTAAACAGACACTTACAAGTAATTTCTCCAGCAATAGGTTTAAACAGGTATTGGTCACCACCCTGCCATCGTTAAGCTTAAAAAAGGTTGGTTGGAAACCATTGGAATGGTCTAATGCGGGGTTCACAGGAATAGCACTGCGTCACTAGCTTGAGTATTCTTTGCGAGACGTTTTTCCCATCACACACATTTTCAGCTCACGTTGAATTACGTGAACTTGTGCTGTTGTAGACTGAAGTGAATTCTGTACAATTGCCGCAAACACCTCGTGCCCCAGTTAAAATCGCCAAAACCCCAGTAAATGCTTTGAGATTCGATTTACGGCAACACTTTAGAATAACTATCCGTTATAACTAGTTAATAGATCATTAATAAACTGTTTGTTAATGACTTATAAATGATTTGTTAAATAAAAGTTAATAGTTCTTTAATTATTTATAACTGTGCCTTATATATTATAACTTACAAGCTGTTAGTTAACAAGTTATAAATTACTTTTAACTGTATTTTAATAGTTTATAGCTATACCTAATACATTAGTAATAGATCATGAACAACATGTTTTACTTACTTTTGGTGTTCAACAAGATGAATTGCTTACTAATGACTTGTTAAATATCAGTTAATAGTTTATTTATGTTATTAGGACGTATTCTAGTTGCAACTATTTTACGTTTATTAAATGTTAGTGAATGAGGAATAGTTGCAACTTTAGAATAACGTCCCAATAACATACTTAAGCTAATAACTAACACTTAACTAATATATTAACTCACACTTTACAGATCAGTTGTTCATAGTTTGTTGACCATCTACTAATACCAGTGAAACTTTGTAGAATTTTTCTAATAAAATACATTTTTATTTATTTTGTGCTCACATTTAGCACAAACAGTGGCCAAACCTCGTGGGTTTGTATTCTGTTGTATACTGCTGTTCTGTCATGTGATGGCTGTTCCTATACATTAAACACAATGTATAACATTTCATCTGTGGAGTTTCTTTGGTAAAATCCAGCACACAGAAAAGGGATTGAGTGGAACAAGGTTAAGGTACAAACATTTTATATTTTAAATATCACATCAAATTTCTGTGGCTTGAACTTGTTCCATCCATTTGCTGTTCTACAAAGTTTCACTGGTGTTATTAGATAGTAAAGAAACTATGAACAACTGATCTGTAAAGTGTGAGTTAATATATTAGTTAAGTGTTCGTTATTAGCTTATGTATGTTATTGGGACGTTATTCTAGTTGCAACTTTTCCTTATTTACTAAGTTAATAAATGAAGAATAGTTGCAACTTTAGAATAACGTCCTAATAACATATATAAACTATTAGTAATGTATTAGGTATAGTTATAAATTATTAAAATACAGTTAACAACTCATTTATAACTTGTTAACTAACAGCTCTTAAGTTATCTATTGGCTATCTTTAAGGCACAGTTACAAATAATTAACAAACTATTAACTTTTATTTAACAAGTCATTTATAAGTCATTAACTAACAGTTTATTAATGGACTATTGACTAGTTATAATGGATAGTTATTCTAAAGTGTTACCCGATTTACTTTATGCAAGTGTATTTATTAAGAGTGGTAATCCCAGAATAAAGACGCTAATGCAACCAAACCAACACTGATGAAAGCAATGTAGTTTAATCAAAAAGCAAACTGAGCGTGTGCACAGAAGTTAAAACATACCTGCTCGCCTCATGCACCACTCCAGCTTGACACTGACGCACTGCTCTACTCCTGGTGTAAGATCTAGTTTTAAATATGCACGCCAAAAAAAAACACTGTGCTGCTCACGCAATGCTTTTGTTGAGGTGTCGGCACGCAGTGAGTTTGCAAGTCGACAAAACAAAGTTTAAATAATATGATGGTGATCTTATTTATACTGCATGGCTCCTGATAGATTTTTTTCCATGAAGCAAAAAGAAGGGATGACGAGCCAGTGAAGCAAGACTTAATAAACCTAAGGGTAACCTGGGGTAAGCAAAATAATCTCATGTCAAAAGAAAAAACAAGATTATTTTGCTTACCCCATTGGCTGATTATGTTGCTTGTTTTAAGGAAAAACTCACTTAATATTGGTATATTATTTCTCAAAACAAGACAATATGCTTTGCTTGTCTATGAAATGCTTCTTAATATAAGAAATTTTAGATATTTAGACTAGAAACAAGACAAAAAACTAAGCAAGAAAAGCATTTTTTGCAGTGCAGTTCATTTCGCTCTGGCGACCCCTGAATAATAAAGGGACCAAGCTGAAAAGAAAATAAATGAATGAATGAATGAATGAATGAATGAATGAATGAATGAATGAATGAACACTTTATTTGCATTTAATATGCCTTCCTTTTGAATAAAATAATTTCACAAATATATTTAAAAATGTCTAAGCTTATAAAATTCTACCAAGCAGATGGCAAATATGTAAAAGAACAACAACAACAAAAACTACTACTACAGGACCTACAAGAATACAGGAGCTGGACATCACTATTAATTAAGATGTGTGTATTAAAATCATAGTTTTGATCATTTCTAAATTCATTGATTTCGCAAATGTTGTGTTGTATGTAATTCTCTTTAAATATATAACAAAAGTCTGCATCAGTGAAGAATGAAGTAAAACCAGTTCATTCTGTTAATTATTTTGTTTTTTATAGAAGTAATATATGTAAAATGCATATTTCTATTTCACTAATATACATACAACAAAAGAAAAATACAGCAAAACAGAAATAAAAAAAACAGTTTTGACCAATAAATGTCACCATGTTTGTGTGATTTGCACAGTCTCATTATTTATGGCATTGTTGTACATATACTTACAGAATCTGATACAAATGCAATTTTGTAAATGTAAAAATATTTTAATTAACTGATTATTTTCTAGATAAACACACAAAAGTCCTTTATAGAACATATGTAATGGTGTGGAATGGAATGCAACATTCATTAAGAAAGAGACAAACAGTTTAGATTAAACATGCAAAGTCTCTTAGTGGAAATATTCTAGAAGAATATCAGCAAACACATCAGAGAAATAAGCAATACAGTAAGAAAAACACTCAGAGATGGAGCTCATGCTACTGGCACTTGGCGTGGCACCGGCAAATCTGTGAAAAGATATAACACAGCAGTCATTTAATGACATATTTATATTATATTTAGGTTGATAATTAATTAAATACCGCTAAGATGTAAGTTTTCACTCTTTGTATCATGACACTGTATTCATGATTAATCGACAACACTGTGGCTAATTTGATATTGCTTAATTCAAATAAACTTTATCTTGTTTTATAAGTCACCTTTGTCATTTTCAGACCACATGAATGGACCCAGTGATATGTGAGCACTGTCATGAATATCCGCAGATCTTGCTTGTCTTCTGTGGTGTTCAGAGTCACAGTTCTAAAATAAAAGACAAACAAGTTGTGTGAGTTAGTTATTATTCCAGTTGTTGTGTCAAGCAAGATGTCAAGGTTTTGCTAACCCGTGTGGTTTCATCAACCCCTACTGGTGGATTTTGTAAAAGAAAAAAAAAAAACCCACAACTGGAAGGCCAACAGCATGCTGTACATGCAGGAAGTGAAGATGGAATATGACAAGCCAAAACTGAACTTGGGCTATCAGGTGATGTCATGATAAAGCTCCACACTTCCAGAGCGACAAAACTACAAGATCTATGCAGACAACTATTTCACCACGTTGCCTGTACTTTTAAGATAAAAAAAGAACAGTTTTTCTCTATCACTACAAGTAAACACAGACTTCATTCAAACCACACAGAATGTGACCAAACATTTTTTTTCCAAATGTTTTTATAAATTTTTTATTTTATTTTTTACAATAAATTTTAATATACAATTTTATATATACAAATACTTTTTTATTTATAAAAATATTATTGTTGTGTTATTATTACTTATGATATATTTTGCTATGGGGCTAAGTAAATGAATGCCTAAATGCTTTGTATACCTGTTCAGACAAAGTGAGTACAAAGACAGAAATTCTGCTCACAACTAGGCCCAACGTTGCAATATTACAACATTTCCCTAAAGACTTACTAACATATAAAAATGTAAAAAATCTTTAAGACCTAAATCAGAGGCCTCCTAAAACAATATCTGGGAGGTAAAAAATGGCTAATTTTTTTTCTATATTTGGGTCTTACAGGGTTAAATGAATAAATGTGTGTTTCATTCAGGGTCAGAGAACTATTATTGGCATATGGCAAAAAATGTACAAAAATGCCCTACTAATATAAATAAAGAGAGCAAAAAGACCATGCACTATTACAAAAGCTATTTTGGCTTTATGCCTGTTGCCCATGAGGGAATTTTTTGCCTTACAATTTATCTGTATTTACATATTTCTGCAATGCTTAGCATTAAAATATATATTTTTTTCTCATGTCTTTATAAAAAGCAATGGCCAATTAGTGGCATTTAGACACCACCCAAACAGCTGGTGTACTGCAGACTTTGTGCTGAATCCAGACATTTAGTCCACAACTCACAAATTCTCATTAATTCATAGTAAACAACTAAGTGCATAAACCTGCTCTAGACCAACATCTTAAAGTGATACAAAAGCATTTTAAATTTCATTTAATTTAATTAATTGATTAATATATTTCATTTACTTAGACATAATACAGCTGTCCAATGCTATATAGGGTCCTGTTTTTATGTATAATTTATAGTGCATCCATTTATACATGCTTTATATATGATAACATTTTATTGGTAAAAGTTTACAGTATTCTGATTGACTGAAGTATTCTGTAACATTAATAAGCCAATAAGCAGAATTTAACTTAAAAGACAGCATGGACACAATTAGGTAATTATAACAAATTACCCAATTAATGAAAAATCCAAACCATTCACAAACACCAAGACAGTTCATAACTTAAACTCACCACTGAGCAGTGATTGTCTATCAGAAGGCAAAGGTGAATAGCGCAGTGCAGGTAAACCTTTGTGGAGTTTGCAGTGAAGATAAACATCTCAAATGAGAAACGGCTGACCATGGAATCGCCATTCTCCACCAGCTCCACTGTATCGTCATTTGGATTGGGACACCTGAGCATTTTACAAAAGTATAGGAAAGATTAGGTTTGTTTGTTTTTAAGTGTCCAAGCGATGATGTCAAGTAAATAATCAATAATTCAATTTAAGTCACTCTTGATGTAACAAATGGTTTTATATTACAACCCCATATCAGAAAAAGCTGGGACAGTATGGAAAACTGACTAGTTGTTCATTGCAAACAATATGAACACAAAACATTTAACAAAAACATGTTTTGTCAGGTCAACTTCTATTCATTTGTAAATATACATCTTCTCTATTCATTTAGACCTGCAACACATTCCAGAAAATTTGAGACAGGAGCAATTTATAAGAGGTGTGAACCTATACTGGTCTCACGGTTCGGTTCGGTTACGATTATCATGCCATCAATTCGGTTCAATTCGATATCTTGGTGCATCAAGGTGCATTGACGATGCTTTCCATATATAGTGTTATATTTTAGGGGGGAGGCCATAACATGCTGTCTGTATAAACACACAGACACACAGCAACACACTGTCTCTCATTCAAACACATTCACAAACATAGACAGCATCAAACAAACAAACACACTTAAGCCCTTGCAGCAGGAAGAGCTTGCGCTGAGCGGAGCAGAAAAACGAAAAAAATGAAAAAAATAAGCACTTTTCCGACGGTCCCTTACAGAGAGCTCCTCTCAGCGCGAGCTCTGCCGGCTAAAGTAAACGCAGACTGCGAGGGCTTAAACGGAGCAGTCTCGTAATGTCGAGCGAAAAAAAGAAAGACAGCTGTGAAACATAACCAGCTTTGTCTTTCTGTGGGAAACACACTTTAGATCTTTTTAGGGTAAGCGTTTTTTGAGTTATTGCCGTCTATAACTGAAAGTGTGTCAGGAAAATCGAAAACAAAACCAACTGAAGCGCGCTCATTTCTGGCGCCCCAATGGATATACAGCGCCCTTAGCATTTGCCTATGGTGCCTATGCCACGGGCCGGCCCTGAGTTGGCTGAGTGTTGTAAATAACGGCGCTCACCTCCCTCGCGACAGAGCGCATAGGAGATAAATAATGACGTCACGACATAATAACCGGTTATGGTTATTACTGAATCGATACCGAATTGTCCGCGTCTGCATCGCGGTGCACCGAAGAAACAATTAATTTTGACACCCCTACAATTTATTGTAAGTAATCAGGTGAATTGGTTTAGTGATGATAAGTGATTTGTAACAGGTGATTGTAATTATGATCTGTACAAAAGTAGCATCCAAGAAAGGTTTAGTTCTTTAGGAGCAAAGAAGGGCAGAGGATTGCCAGTTTGCCAACAAATACATAAGAAAATTATTGGTATGTTTAAAAACAGTCTTCCTCAAAGAAAGATAGAAGGACTTTTGGATATTTCATCTTCAACAGTGCATAGCATAATTAAAAGATTCAGGGAATATGGAGGAATTTCAGTGTGGCAAGGACAAGGGTGCAAGCCAAAACTCTTGCGATCTCTGATCCCTCAGGCAGCACTGCATCAAGAATCGTCATTCATCTCTAAGCAAAATCATCAAATGGGCTAAGGACTACTTTGGCAAACCTTTGTCAAGTACCACAATATGTAGTTACATCCACAAATAGCATTTAAAACTGTATTGTGCCAATTGGAAGCCCTATTTTAACAGTGTCCAGAAGCGCCATTGACTTCTCTGGCCTCTGTGACATCTAGGATGGACCATCACACAGTGTAAACGAATACTGTGGTCAGATGAGTCAGTATTTCAGGTATTTTTGGGAGAAATGAACGCCATCTTCATCTTAATGCTGAAAAGTACATAGAGGTTTTGGAGCACAATATGCTGCCTTCATTTTAAGTGATGCCTGTGCATATTTCATCAAGACAATACAAAACAAAAATTTACATTACAAAGTCCTGGCTGCAGAGGAAGAGGATACAAGTACTTGACTGGTCTGCCCGCAGTCCCGACCTGCCTCCAATAGATAATTTTTGGTGCATTTTAAAGTGCAAAGTGCAACAACGAAGACCTCGCACTGTTGCCCTGCACCTTAAGACTTGTTCGCAGCAGGAATGGCACAAAATTACACCTCATCACTTAAAAAAACACCTCATCACTTGGTGTCTTCAGTATATTTTAAGTATTGGAACAAGAATGGCAACATTACAAAGTGGTAAATTCTTTACCGTTGCAATTTTTTTTGATTGTTGCAAGAACCAAAATCGGAATGTTTATTTAAAAAAAAAAAAAAAAAAAAAACAGTAAAAATCATAAGGGTTACATTAAATATTATTTGTTGTATTGTCTGCAGGGGGCGACACTGTGGCTCAGTGGTTAGTACTGTCGCCTCACAGCAAGAAGCTCGCTGGTTTGAGCCCTAGCTGGGTCAGTTGACATTCCTGTGTGGAGTTGTTCCCATGTCCGTGAGGGTTTCCTCCGGGTGCTTCGATTTCCCCCACAGCCCAAAGACATGTGATATAGGTAAGTTAGTTCTTGCATGCCTTACCTTTAGCAAAATTTAATATACATTTTAGAACATTGTATTTATGTCCTGATATTGTTACCACATTAACTCACCTGTCAACAATGAGGTCCCAGCGGAGAGAATCGTGAGGATCGTTCACAGGTGTAGCCCAACATGTGTCGATCACTGAGGCAAACTGACGGTCGTCAACTCCATCAACGCGAACCTCCACAAAAATGCGTTTGCTCACCTCCTTAGCCACGTTACCAGTGAAGGGGTGGAGGAACTCTGCATCCTGGTATGGAATCATTCGGACCCGATATGTACCTTGACCAGCAGGAAGGGTCTTGTGCACTTTGCTGTTGAAGATGTTACACAAGATATGCGTAAGTTTGAAAACCAATTGTTCAAATAATTAGTCAAACTGTAATAAAATGCTGGGTTGAGACAACCTTGATTGATAATCATTCATAATCAGTCTGATTTGGGAATGTGGATGCTGACACCACTTTGTCTGTCCATGTTTATATCATTTATAATATATACAGCTTATGGAGGCTGACCAACATCAGACAAAAGCAGATTGTTGTATGTGTCTGATGAGTTTCAAAATGTAAACAGTTATGATAGTACAGATAAGTGCAAATGAAGATCCACCGACATTCTGATATTTAGATTCAATAAATCAACCCAGTGCAGGATTTTTCCTTTTTTGACTTCGTGATTATTTGCCAAATTGAACCAAATAAGAGTTGTTTAAACCTAGATTTTTTTAACCCTGATTGAAATTTGGCTGAAGTAAATGTGTCCCACCTCTCAAGAGGGTTGATGTCCATGGAGAGTGTTTGTGTTTGCAAATAAACACAGCTGAAAGAAAGCTTCAGGACTTTTGCTCTGCTAACGAGAAGTCCAGTTGTGTTTGGTTCTCCCTTAATAAAGTTCTCATAGATGATGTGTGTGCCATTGGCCTGTAGGGACATGTTAATTGAACATTTGTAACTGAATAGACTTTGGAATAAATTATAAAAACAATTGAAAAGCATGTGTTGTTGAGTACTATCATACATTATGAATCTCTGTATACTGTTTTGCATCTGCACTTCTCTGGATTGCACTCTATCCCATGTGCCCTTAGGTGTAATGGTCACACTTTACAATAAGGTTCATTAGTTAATGTTAATTAATGCATTTGCTAACATGAACAAACAATAAACAATACATTTACAACAGTATTTATTCATGTTAGTAAATGTTAGTTAATGAAAATACAGTCGTTCAGTGTCATGTTAAGTCACGGTGCATTAACTAATGTTAACAAGCACAGACTTGGATGATAATAATGCATTAGTAAATGTTTAATTATGATTAATAGATGCTGTACAAGTGTTGTTCATGATTAGTACATGTTAGTAAATGCATTAACTAATGAACCTTATTGTAAAGTGTTACCGGTGTGACTGTATTGTTTACAATTCTTATTTTAACCTATATTTTTTGATTATATTATGTGTGTAACTGTCTTTATTGATTGTTTTTATTTTACTTCATATTAATATTATCTGATATTCATCTATTGTCTGAGAGTAAAGTAATTTCGATTCTCTCAACCCATGCTCATTCTGAAATTGTAGTCCCGCGGATGTTTCTGGAGACTGCGGAATACGTCCCGGGAGGTACGTACGGCTGCAGTTTTTGTTTTTGCGAATCCGCGAGAGGCCGCTGTGTGCGCTTTTTCGCATCCCAAATGCCTCTCGCGAATGCAGTTCACGCCCGCGCTGTTCTCGCGTGAACCCACCAGAGGCTGCTGTCCGACTTACCGGATGATTGACTGCACGACCGGCCAATCGGCTGACCCGCCCTTCTCCTTCCCTAAACCCAACCAATTTTACCGATTGACCCGCCCGCCCGCTCACTTCCCTAAACTCGAGCAACAATTTACAAAAGCTGTCCAAAAAAAGAAAAGCACTGTTTTTTTTTTTTTTTTACTGAGTTTTTGGATTTCACCATGTTCTCACCCTGTTATGAAACTCGTTCACTTAATTTTTGGGATTCTGTTTTTGTCTTAACTGATTTCTGGAACCGCACTTCCCCGGACTCGAAACCGATCGCCGTGGTCAACTCCTCTCTGCATCTCAAGCCTGCCGACGTACACGCTGAGCTGAGTGGACAAACGGGTTGCAGCCGGAAAGCCCTCCACAAAAAGGTAAGCGATCGGCCGGCCGGCAAGCGCAAAAGGGAACAGCGTCACACTGCCCCGTAGCGTTCGCTTGAAAAAAATAAATGCAGCCGTACGTACCTACCGGGACGTATTCCGCTGTCTCCAGAAACGTCTGCGGGACTACGTTTTGAGAATGAGCTTGGGTTGGATTCTCTGTATGTCCGGTACACAGGGTGCGAATTACAGGGGGATTTGGGTGTTAATAGTATTGTGTGTTGGTGTGTTAATAGTAAGAAATAGCTTTCTCTGATCTATAACCTAAATATTAATAATTAAATTGGATAATATAAATATACATTGATTCCCCCTATAACGGTGTATACCATTGTGAAGGCATGATCGCACCAAACAATGCAAGGAAAAATATCATTCAACAGTCTGAAACTGGCAGTTCTAGAGCACCGACATTTTAAGTTTTCATAAAACACGTTTCTGGTAAAATAAGAGTTTATATCTGCATGTAGCCTAAAAAAAAGAAACAGTAGACACCAAATTTGTATAGTTTGACCTTCAGTAACCTCTAAAAGAGTCAGAAAATATTTCTCAAAACACTTAAAAGGTAAACATTTTATTAATAAATTAGATGAAAATTATTAATAATTTGCCCACTGTCTGTAAATGTGGTTGAATTGACAGTAAAGCTGACTTTGACTTACTGTTAGACTTGTGCCACAAATGTGTTCGTTGTTGTCAAAGTAAAACTCCACTTGGCCATCTCGGACTGTTCCTCTGCAGCTGGGGTCATTGAGGTGTAAGATGTCAGAAGGAAAGCCAGCATCAAAAAGCTGACAGCGAGACAGAGATATGGAGCCATGGCTGTTTTCACAGGTTTCAGTGAAGTCTGAGAGAGAACACATCCAAGAGAATGTCAGCGATGACCAGAAAACAACTTATAATCGAGAATGAAAATATATATTTCTATTTGAGATGTTATTGTGGAATGAGTCTGACCAAAGGAGTCTGCTGCTGAAGGATGAGATCTGTGATGGTTCTTCTTGCAGGAACAGCCATAAACACCATGTTTCTTTTTACAATGTTCATTCTCAGTGCAGTTGAACTCAGAACAGTGATCTTCTTTAGCAAAAGAAAGAACCACATGAAGAATGACACATTTACAGAAAGTCTCCAAGCTGGACTGCAAAACCCTCATTAAAAAGTAGTTTAACTTGGCTTTTACATTTGAAATCAATACATCTGTGTTCGTATAAAAAAGACCTAAATAATGTTAAGGAAAAGGGTTTAAAAGGTTTAACACAAAAGCTAAAGAGAAGCGAAAATTGTTACCATTAAACTGACAACAGCGTGATCTATGATCTGTTCTGAAGGCCCATCTGCCAGGCACATTGACATTGCTGCTGTAGGTTAAGTTTGTGGTTTCATTCTGTAGCGAACTCGTAATTGAGAAGTAGCATCTAGAACTGTTGGTGTCATAACCAGCCTGTATGTGATTAAAATAAAAAAGATAAAAATTATGTTGGTGTTTTTGTAAAGTTAGTCAGTTGGTGCTGATTCAACTTCTGTTGTTCAAACCTGTACAAATCGATGAGTTGGAGCAACTTTTCCATAATTCATCAAAATAAAGGATAAATGGCCATCAGAAATGAAAACCACTTGAAAAGATGTTTCCTGAAAAGACAAATGTAAAAATCACATGCTGGTCAACACTAAATTTTAAATGCCTCATTTAAAAAGCTTTGGGATAACATATATTTTGCAACATAGGCTCATTCTGAAAACATAGCCCTATGTAAGTGTAATGGAGGACAGCTAGTAGGTGCAACTGACTAGTAGCAACCAACTCCCATGTGGAAGGTCGTTGGTTTGATCCCAGAAAGGTTGGGTGGTGTAGAACCGGCGGGGTTACATTGGTGCCGTGACCTGGTTGCGAGTGAGGTTTAGGGGGGTGAGTGTAACGGAGGCCAGCTAGTAAGTGCTGTGCAGGTAAACCTCACTCTTCTGACCTCTAAAGGTGGTCTAGAGACAAATGCTAGAGGCAATGGTCTTTAGCCTCCTTGGTAGGTTCGATACCAGCTTGGAGCAGGTTGGGTGGTGTAGGACCGGCAGGGTTACATAAGTTTCTGGAGATAGCAAATTATGTAGCCAGAGCTACGCATGGCTGCACATGGCTTTTTTTCTGGATTGCTTTAAAAAAATTGCTGGTTGGGTTTGGGAAAGTGGGTGGACCGGTCAATCAATACAATTGGTTGGGTTTAAGAAAGGAGGGGGGTGGATAAGCCATTCAGTCCGTCAAACAGTCAGTTGACAGCAGCCTCTGGTGAGTTTACGCAAGAAACGTAGCTCCTGGGACGTATTTGGCGGTCTAGAAGAATGTATATGGAGGTACGTTTTCAGAAAGAGCCTGGGTTGATATTTTGGTTTGGTATTAAACATGAAGATATTATAGAGTCAGATTAGATTTCTTACGGTTCTTGAAATTGGATAATATGGAACTCTGTCCCATGTTACAACAAAGACCCAAGTAGCCGAAAAGCGCAGGTCAGGGAAGTATAGGTTAATGTCTTGTGTGGCATTTGAAATGACACTGCCGTAGGTGTACTGCTGATATGAAATGACACCAGTGAAGCGGTTATCAATATCTGCCCACAATGGAGCAATGATGTCTTGCCCACCATAACCTGGGAATTGGTATGGATAGTAGCTGTACCATGGCCAGTCAAAAGTCAAGAATCCATTGTTGCTGATCTGGAAAGAATTGTACAATATTTTAACTCTAAATCTAACAATATTCAAGGGAAAGCAGAAAATCTTTTACAAATCTTTTTTTTAGTACTTAACCACATTCTAATCACCTTTTATGTAATCACCTTTTATTAGTTATTTCATTGTAATATGGTTTACTGTTTTAGTTCATTGGACAATGTTGACTATCAACTCTTATTTTAAGCTGTGTGATTAAATTCTGGACTGTGTACACGTACACCAAATAAGCACAATAGCTGAGTAGCACTACAAGCATATATTGATTATTCAAAAGTTAAATAATTTGAAACCTAGCATGATACAATGGTGATACAAATAAAATCACTTCATGAATTTAAATAATGACTAACATATACTTGGTTGTATGTCTGTCCAAAAAATATAAATGGTCGTCGAAAGTAGATGACTGATGAAATGCCATCATCAGAACGATTAGTTTCTGTGTCTCCAAATCCAAATGGATAAAATGGACCTGCATCAGTGTTATAGACAAAAACATAATTTTGAGGGGGTAATAAAGTTTACATTATATACATTTGAAGTCAGAATTATTATTTTCTTTTTTAAATGATTCCAAAATAATGTTTAACGCATTATTAAAGCATCTACGCTTCCCATTCACTTTGAATGTGTGACGTCAAGCATTGCCAAATTGCATTGTGGATCCATCTGCGCCGTTTCAGAGGCATTGCTCACTGCAGAAGTTGGGACTAGTTCAACTTTTCAAGCGCCGACGGAAGCATCAGCCAATCAGATTGCTTTATGCAAATACACTAGCTAGACAGTGGCCTATTGCTGACTGAATTTCATTGGCTGATGCTGCTATGACGATCTTGTCAGCCCCAACTTCAGAAACACCTTTAGTCAAGCGTTGATGCTGAAGCCCCGTGTTAATGGGGTGTAACAGAGCGAGGACATTTTCACAGTATGTCTGATAATATATATATATGCATATATATATGCAGTTTTTATTTTTTTAAATCCATTTAAGGTCAAAATTATTAGCCCCATAGCTATATATATTTTTTCCGATAGTCTACAGAAAAAACCATCATTATACAATATCTTGCCTAGTTACCCTAACCTGCCTAGTGAACATAATTATGCCTTTAAATGTCACTATAAGCTGTATAGAAGTGCCTTGAAAAATCTCTAGAAAAAATATTATTTACTGTCATCATGGCAAAGATAAAATAAATCAGTTATTAGAAATGAGTTATTAAAACTATTATGATTGTAAATGTGTTGAATAAATCTTCTCGCTGTTAAACAAAAATTGGGAAAGAAATAAAATAAAAATTCTGAATTCAACTGTACGTCAGATTTAGCATTATAATACAGTGTTCTGTTACCATGTAATGCCACGTTTACATCATTTTTGTAAATTGCAATAACATACCTGAGGAAATATTTGTTGTTGTTGTTGTTGTATTTATGGTGCTGATATCTGTAAAGGAAACAAATACCGGGAAATAAAATTATATATACACATAGACCTATTTTAAAAGCACACCAGAAATGTATTTACTACTTTTATTACTTCTGCTACTACTAATAATACTTTTGCTGCCCCTGCTACAGCTACTAAAATATTTGCATGATTTATTATTATTATTATTATATCCAAAAATGACAGTAAACAAGTAAAGAACTCATACTGTACTCTACCTGCACAATAAGCAGAGCATAATTGTGGCCTGACAAACTCATATACATAATAGTTTCCCGGACAAGCTTTGACCTGAATGGGATGAGATTTGAAGCTACAGCAGCCACTCCATGAGGAACCACAGACTTCTCGGGTGACCACTCCATCTTCCAGTCGTGGATGGGAGCCATTGAGCCAAAGTGGGTAATTAGTGCCACACATACCAGCACTAACACATGACTCTGGCATCTGGACGCTCTGACCATTGTAGAACAGCCTGTACCAGCCATTCCAGGACCAGGCATTATAATCACACATTACATTGTAATAATAATATTTATCATAGTATGGGTGGTCAGTGGCTCTCCATGGCTCATCCAGACTGTTGTAGTTGTAGCAAGGGTCAACACTTGGAGTGGTAAATGGATCTGTTTTAGGAACAGTAAAAATATTTTCTTTGAATTCACACAAACATGATTTCTGCAGTTAATGCAATCTTTAGCGGATATGTAAATGCAGTGTTTACATCAACTCTCATAATATTCATGTAATAAAAAGTGTAAGAGAATGACTCTTACCTGCACAATATGTAGGAGCTGGAATTGATATTTTTGGTTTTTTAAATTCGTAGACATAGTAATTCCCAGTACAAGCTTTGACTTGGATTGGGTTGGATTGATAGGAACTGCACTGGTCATTAACAGAGCCGTAGACTTCCCGAATAACAACTCCGTCTTCTAACTGAGGATGAGGTCCACCAAGCCATAGAGAACTAAATCCTCCACATGACATATAAATGAAACACCACTCAGGCATCTGAGCGCTAATTCCATTGATGTAGAGTCGATACCAGCCCTGCCATTCAACACGACTGTCATCAAAATAATATTGAGCTCTGTAGTTTAGTGTGCTTCTCCAGTGGTTGTCAAGAATGTTGTAATCATTGCATGGGTCATAATCTCTGTTGAAAGTGGCTGAAAAAAACATTAAAATATTAAATAAAATATTATTTTTATATACAGTTAAAGTCAGAATTAAAGGCCCCCCTTTAATTTTTTTTTCTTTTTCTAATATTTTCTAAATTATGTTTACCAGAGCAAGGACATTTTCACAGTATGTCTGTGATATTCTTTTCTTCTGAATAAAGTCTTATTTGTTTTAGTTCGGGTAGAATAAAAGCAGTTTTAATTTTTTTTGAAAACATTTTAAGGTCAATATTATTATCCCCATTAAGTTATATTTTTTTTCGATAGTCTACAGAACAAACCATTGTTATACAATAACTTGCCTACTTACCCTAACCTGCCTAGTTAACCTAATTAACCGAGTTAAGCCTTTAAATGTCACTTTAAGCTGTATAGAAGTGTAAAAATAATATTTACTGTCATCATGACAAAGATAAAACAAATCAGTTATTAGAAATGAATTATTAAAACGAATATGTTTAGAAATGTGTTGAAAAAATCTGCTCTCCATTAAACAGAAGTTGTGAAAAAAATAAACAAGGGGTCTTTAACTGGCTTTAACGGGCTTTTAACTTTAACTTTAAACAGGGGGACTTTAACTGTATGTAATAATGGTGGACATATTATAAAATACTGACGTAATGGACAAAAAACAATAAAGCTTATAACCTGCAATAAATAAAATGGAATAAGTCGTTTGGCTTTTGGTCAGGTGACATTCATGCAAACAATCAGAAGTTCACCTAGGTTCTCTAACTGGCTGTACACATATTGCGTCTAAAATTGGTGAAAAACTAAAGTTGTGTTGCTTACTTCACCAATTTCAACACTTTTCTGAAATCATGCTCCTATGGTAAAAATGTAGATGTTTTGCTGTGCATCTTCATTCGATATAACAAACTTGACCACACAAAAGACGTGATACGTGAACGACCACTATGCTCATAACTAATTAATTAATATTATTAAAAATCCCCAAACATGGTTATTTATTATACACTACCCATCTAACATTTAATGTATTGAATGTTATTATAAAACCTACACATGCTGGACCCAATAATTAAAGCCGGGCTTGTAGAGGAAAAGGCTTCTGTTACAGTACTAATATCTGAAAAGTAGAAATGAAAAGATTAGAGAAATAACATAGACATTTTTCATTTAATGATAATAATGATAATAATAATGATAATAATAATAATAATAATAATCAAAGCATAATAGTACCTGTGCAGTACGCTGAATTTGAGTATGTTAGAGGCTTCACAAATTCATAGACATAGTAATCACCTGGGCAAGCTTTGACCCTGATGGCTGTTAATCTGAAAGCACAACAGCCAAACATTTCGCCTCCACAGACCTCTCTGATCACCACTCCATCATCAATCTGAGGGTGAGGCCCCTTGAGTGACAGACCACTAAATGCATTACAGACGTATCTACCAATACAGCTCTCTGACATTTGGATGTTCATCCCGTTGTAGAAAAGTCGGTACCAGCCATTCCAGGAGAAAAATTCATCACTAACAGAAAATCCACTTTCATTTGTGGCTCTCCAGGGACGATCCAGAGATTCATAGTTGTAACAAGGATCGTTATTAATACTGTCAAAAGCAACTGTAGAGAAAAAAGATAATTATTGAAATCACTGCTTAAATGCTGTATTGAAATGTACCTTTTTTATGAGACCATCTTAATACATTTCTCAATTTCAAACTCTATACATGAAACTTCACCTGTACAGTATGCAGGTCTGATCATTGAGGCATTGGGTCTGACTAGTTCATAGACATAATAATCTCCAGGACAGGCTTTAACTTGGATGGAGGAGGATTTGTAGTAGCCACACTGCTTGGAGAGGTCGAAGCTCCACGTATACCACCACCACCACCAAACCCATGACGAGCTTGACCATGTACCCAATACTTCACGGGTCACCACCCCATCCTCAAGTCGTGGATGAGAACCATTGAGAAACAGAGCAATGTCACCACCACATCCTGATTGTGTCACGCACCACTCCGAGAGTTGAGCATTTTTTCCATTCAAATACAGCCGATACCAGCCCTTCCAATCAACAAGAGTGTCATCATGGCCATAGAATGAGTAATAGTTATAGTAATCCTGGCGCAAGTCTCTCCAATTTTCATCAATAACACTGTATCCAAAGCATGGGTCAGAGCTGGAAGTAGTGACTTCTAAGATAGTTGAGAGAAAATTGAGGAGTTTGTACTGCAGTTTACATATAATTCAAGCTGTTTCACTTTTAATTATTTTATAGGCTTTTGTAAATTAAGTAAAAAAGAAATTATATCTGCTGTAAATATTAAAATGACTTATTTTAACTATTAACTGGCACATACTGTAAAAAAAAGAGTCAGTGACTAAATCAGAGTAATGGATTGAACACGCACAAAACTGGTCAAAACAATCTCATATTTTCTAAAAGTAGGACATAAGAATAAAATTAGGCCTGTTTTATTTTTCCTTGTCATCATTTCAGTAATCTCGTCACCTTAGAATTATAAGGTTCTGTCTGACATTTTTGTCAAAAGTGATTTATTCACATATTCTTTTTAAAAGGCACCTTATTTATATTATGTGATGTTTTTTTTTTTATAAGTTGTTTACATTTTAAGACTTTTTATTTAAAAAAAGATGGTTTGTCTACAAAGTCGAACCCTAGCTTGGCTCTATGAAGTTCTTTCTGTTAGCCAATTAGCATTTTGAATGCACACACGAAGACCAATCAGGATCCTTTGTCACCGGACTGATCCATTGACAGCGGGAAACAACAGAAAGACAAAATCACACAAAATCAGAGTTGACTAAATAATGCCACACCACACAAAAGTTGTGTGTAAATGCAACGATTTAGAAGCATTTTTTGACATTAAGATGAAATGTTACATTTTACCATTTTACATTGTTGAAAAAGAAACATATATATATATATATATATATATATATATATATATATATATATATATATATATATATATATATATATATACATGAAATATTTTTTTATTTGTGTATATATAGTCAGTGAAACACTTTTCAGTGTTTATTAAACTCATTTGGTCATTGTGTTTTTTTTTAAAGTCTTTACATTTAATATTAAGCCTTAATTTAATTCATGGGGCATATAATTCAATTAATATAATTCAATAATTCATATAAAGCATAACATTTTATAAATATAAAATAAAATATATTAATTACATACAATTAACATCTGCACTGGACAAAATATTTAGCACAGCTTAAATTGAACAAGAAAAAATATTCATCCTAAAACATGAAATAAATGTTATAGACAGTAAAAATTTTACTTGATCAAGCATCAACATATTGTTACAACACCAAATTATATATATTTTGATTGTATTTCTTGAAAAGTAATGCTTCAATGAACGATCTGCTAGATAAAACCTTATAATTCCACAAGAAAAAAAAATACTTTTCAGAATTAGAAGGTTCTATCTGCATTTACCATGTTTTTTTTTTTTTTTTTTTTTTTCTCCGTTTACAAATGTAAGAGAACTTTGATAATTTACATGTAGAGTACCTTTAGGGTCTCTGTCATGTTAATGTATGAATGAGAACTGTTACACACATACTGTTTGCTACATGGCATCCAAAATCTTTGAAGCTCAGTGTCTCAAAATCATTTAGAAAACAGATGAACCTTATATACCCAAGGTGAAGATCTGTTATTTGTTATTCAAGGTTTACTTGTATTAATATGTGTGAATGAAAGGCTGCATTTCACTTAACCATCAGATTCAGATGCAATCAGAATCTTTTAACTGTTTGCAATCAGACAGCTGATGCTATTTAATGTATTATAAAGATGTTATAGATCTGTGCTACATCATATTGGTTCAGTTTTTGCTAATTATTTGTGACATGATAAATACAAGCTAACTGATAAAAAAAATAACTATTCAATATTTAAAGGGTTAATGCTACAGTATGCTTTACCTGCACAGTAGGTCCCAAAACAAAAGCTTGGTGAAACAAACTCATAGACGTAGTAACTTCCAGGGCAGGCTTTCACTTGAATGGGATTGGAATGAAAATAGCAGCAGTCGTTGTTCCAGTGACCACAGATACTTCGGGTCACCACTCCATCCTCGACGTGTGGATGTTCTCCATTTAGCCACAGAGGGGCATGAGTACTACAGCTCAACTCATTAACACATGTGTCTGGCATCTGAGCACTCTGGCCACTAATGTAGAGACGATACCAGCCGTTCCAGTTGACAGACATATCACATCGTATGGAGGAGAACTGTGTATTGTTAACTGATCTCCAATAATTATCGAGCACAGTGTAGTTATAGCAGGGGTCAAAAGGATCAGCCTCTGTGGTGTGGTGGAAAAGTAAAATGAAAAATAAGAATGAAATCATTATTTTGAATCAGCATTTACATGTTAATCTTAATCTTGACCCGACAACACCTGAGATCGACTTGACCAGGTTACAATTTGTAAATAAGTAGCTTTTACAGATGTGGTTACTGAGAATGCGCGAGTGATCTAAAGTGGTGTCGCACGTTACATGGTCTAACACAGGAAATACATGGCCAGCAGGGGGCAGTCATGTAACATAGTAAACATACTGAACTGATATACTGTAGCAGCCATGTAAGCGGAGCTGAGCGATGTGATGAAGAATTCTGCTCAATGGTCGTGCGCTTGCTCAACGGTAAACCAATACTGCTCAGATCAATTGGCAACATAAAATTTCTCTAGTAGGCGAACTCAATTTTTTTTTTTTTTTTTTGTAGCTAAAAAAATCTTAAATAATTGTCTAAAATTAAATCTTTGATATTCTTTGAGCTTTTTTTCTTTTAGTACACTTTTTAAATAATAATTTAATAGGCCTAAATGATCTACTGTGTATTTTATAGCCTATTTATTTAGGCAGCTGTGTGTGTTATCTTATACTAGTTTATATACTATAGTTTATATAATATAGTTTAACTGACTGTTAGCCTATTTTAAGCTATGGAGCTCTGAACATAATTCAAATTATAAATTGGCTTTCAAGACCACGTCTAATAATGCATATCCTTGTTTTAATTAAAGTTATACTTCAATAATTCATTATGAAATTTAATAATTTGTTCCTGGAATAGTCTTACTAAATCTATTAAACTAAACAATTATCTTAGAAATTAATTCATGGCATTTAAACCTGCATAAACAAAAGGAACAGATACAGGTACGAAATTCAAATCGAATAAATTCTAAAGAAAAATTTAATTGAAGTCATAATGTGTAGGCTAGCTTAAAGACAACTATTCTTAAAGGCCACATAGTTTACCCCCTTTTTATGATTTAATATGAATATTATGGTTCTTCTGAGTGTGCCATTTTAGGTTCAGTTAAACACAGAGTTCAGATGTTTTTATTATAATTGTCAGGGTTTCAGGAAGGATAAGGGATGCAACAGAAGATGGTTTTTATTAATTAAAAAAAACAAAAAGGACAACAAAAACCACCCCGAGGGGGGAAAACATAACTATAAAACAAACAGACAAACTTGGCTGGGCTGGCAGGACAAACAGGACAGGGAAATATTGACGACGAACTGGCACAGGACGGCAGACATGAGGAGATTTTATGCAGACGTAAATTAACACAAACAGATGAACATAATTAACTAATAATGGGGTAACAAGGAGGGTGGGACTAGACTATAGACGCGAGAGCACCTGACACAATAAGACAACACAAGCCATGCACTCACATAAAACAAGACTAGAACACACAGCCAATGAGAGAACTCATTAACCACGCGTTCATGACAACACAAGCACGCAGTGCATGTAAACATACACCACGTGCTAAACAACACCAATAGAAGACTGAACGCAAGACACGAGTACACGATGAAAGAAAGCACTCACCGTGCACTCACACACGCAGTGTGCATGTTTCATCCCAGCACTGACCAAAACCAAAACCAACTGGACTGAGAAGCTGGAATTGAAGCACCACGCTGCAGACAGACGAAAACACAAACACGAGTACAAGAGCGCGTGCGCGTCCGAGGCACACAGAGCCCGCGTGGCCGCATCGAGCGGGAGCTCGCACACTCTGCGTACACCCACGAGGGCGCGCGCGCACAGAGACACACAATGACAGAAACAAGACAAGACAGAACTAGTGTCTAGGTTCTGCCACCAAAGCAAGAATTTACAAGACCAGTGTGGCAGAACCCTGATAATAATGTGTTAAAAAGTGTCATGTTGGGGGCATGTACAAAGCTGACTGTTTTAGGGGCGTGTTGCTTCACATGAAAATTAGTTACGGCTTCCCGCCCAACGTAACAAGTGGGCGGTGCCAAGAACTCCCCCACTCTGTGTTTGCAACAGTGAGGCAGACAGACAGAAGCTAAGCTACATGAGAGAATTAGCATTCAGCCGTACATGTGCAACTCAGACACAGACCAAGCAGAGAGTACAAAATCATTTGCGTCTTTGTATAGTTTTACAGCCAACTGTGTGCTAGTTTAAAGTGCCGAGCTTGTACACCGAGACTAATAACCATGCACACTGAATTAACTTTGACTAAAGCACCGGATGCGCCGCTTGAAGCCGCGACACGGCACAACAGACACTCTCAGTGGCGCAGCAAAAACCTGAAGTGTCTTGAATCGTCGCGCCACGCAGCGCCATGCATTCTAGAACTCAGAACACAGGCTTCCACTAGGGCAAACACAACGGCGCCCCAAGTCGGTGGCCTCCTGTGGCGCCCAGCCGCCTTCCCGAAGTGCCACTGCGTGCACCCCGACAGAAACCCACGCCCAGAACTACGAAATGCATGGTGCCGCGCCACGCAGAGAGGCACTTCTGGTGTGCGACCTGCAGTTTGTTATATTATTTCCAATAGAGAGTCGCGCACATGAGGCAAGACGCTTGCACTTTTCCAGCTGCACCTAGTTAAGATCACACTCACAAGGAGCTTCTGTGACCGTGAGAAATGCAAACGGCTGAAGTTTAAGGTAGACGCAATGAAAAGTACACATGTTTGCAAACCTACCAAATGGTACTAGCAATAATTCCATTTAGAGCGATAATGTGGTGAATGTTGATCTTGTGTTGAGCATAATGAGCCTTACATCTAAAAATAAAGCAAAGGAGTCCCTTTAGTGATATCGCTTTGACTCACACGCTGAAAATGGTGAACGTGAAACAACAAACTAAGGATATGGTGATGTGCCTGTCAATCAATATTGGTGGGCGGGGGAACTGCGCTCCTATGTCAAGTTGCGGACGTTCTGAAAACCGCTCTAAATTAAAAAAAAGGACTGGGTGTGTTTATATCACCCCAATATGATGGCCTATACACTATACCTACACACGTCTGTCCAACCAGCTTGAAAAGTACCATAAGTGCCCTTTAACAGGTGCCCGAGAGTTTGTCTGCATGTCATCAGGGCTCTGTAGCCTGTTGCTAGGGCCAGACAGAATCTGCAAACATTTTTTGCTACTTCTGCGCAGAATTTTGTTAAAACCTTAACATATGAAATAAATAATACCTTTTTAACTTTTATTTAATGTTAACAATGCAAATTCAATTGCATCCACTTTACTTGGTAATCAAAGCAAATCTCTCTTATAATAAATCTACTAAAAGAAAGAAAATCTTACTTTACAAACTGTATTGTGAATAAATCATATGAATATTTTCATATTAGTCAATAATATTACTGAAGTTAATTTAAAAACCGAAGAACTATAAATTAGCACACATTTACACAAGCAAATAAACAGAATTAATGATGGGCTAAAAATCTGCAGAAATCTGTGGAATTCTACGGGAGAAGATTCAGGGCCCTATCATACACCAGGCGCAATGTGGCACAAGGCGCGACACAATTGTTTGCTAGTTTCAGCTTGGCACAAGAGTCGTTTTGACGTTTTCCGCCAAGCTGTTTAAATAGCAAATGGAAGGCGTTCTAAAAAGGAAAGCGTTCTGAGGCACATTGCTGGCACGTTGCTATATTGAGAAACTATAATATAATAGTCCAGTGCAGAGTGCGTTAGTTGTGCGCCTCACCTACACACTGCTTAATACACACAAGATGAAGAGCAAAATGCAAATATCTTTACATATGAAAAAGAATTAAAATATTAAGGATATATATAGGATATAATAAGGATATATATATATATATATATAAGGATTAAAATATTACAAAACATATTGTTTTCTAGCCTACATAACTTTAAAAACCACTGCCTTCATGCCTTTTTCATCTCTGGAGACTTTTTCAGTTTATTCATAACAATTTGCTTTTGTATAATGTTATCATTATTAGCAGTATTACTTATTATATCCATATTTATATTTGTTTTATGAAAAACAAGCTTAGATTTGCCCACCTGTAAGGTTTTAGACCAGGTGTGTCCAAAGTTTTTGGGCCGAGGGCCAGATACAAAAAAAAAAAACTGTTGTCCCGGGCCAAATTTTACATACATCACACAGACACACCCACACCCACACCCACACACACACACACACACACACACACACACACACACACACGTGTATATATGTATATGTGTGTATTTATGTATATATACTGTATATATATATATATATATATATATATATATATATATATATATATATATATATATATATATATATATATATAGGTGTGTGTGTGTGTGTGTGTTTGTGTGTGTAGTATTATGGAATAATTTATTAAAATGATAATATATATTTTACTCACCATAATCTCTGTTAATGTGAACAGTGATGTTGTGCCTTCGATTTCAGAATTGATGTCAAGTCAGGAGTAAGTCGTGTAGTAGATATGCGTAGCAAATCACGGAGGTGGCTGTCAGTTAAATTGGTTCTCAATTAACTTTTGTTTAGATCCATCATTGAAAATGTCTGCTCATATATATATATGTGGAGCCAAACAGACTTGTCATCCTTTGTGCATGGCGTTTTATCAAGGGAAATTTGGATGAATCCAAACTTTTGTAACAGGTGGGCAAATCTAAGCTTGTTTTTAATAAAACAAATATAAATATGGATAGAATAAGTAATACTGCTAATAATGATAACATTATACAAAAGCAAATTGTTATGAATAAACTGAAAAAGTCTCCAGAGATGAAAAAGTAATTTGCAGATGATCCCGAAGTAATTTGCAGATGATCCCTAAAACTGCGTGCGCGAATATCAAACCTAAGGCCAACTTTACTGAGCTAGGAGGTGATTGGTTTTCTAAAGTATTTCCCAGTTCACGCTCGAGGGCTCGTGCAGCTTCACGAAGCCGCTGAGGAACAGACTTCGCCATGTTTATGCTGCCAAATGTCCCAAATAGTCCTCGCTGCAGCTGTGACAACATAACCTAAAACCTGCCATGCAGCAACGGCGGGCGTCTGTGGGCGTGGCCAGGCCAGAATGCATTTTCAATTTCAAATCGGCTTTCATTGTCGCGATGTGTTAAATGAAAATGCATTATGTTTTTTTTCATTTTCACTTTCATTTTGCAGCAAACATTGCACATATGTCTTGGAAAATGCTAACTGAAATACAGAAATACACTGCCATTTATATATTGCATTATCGTTTTGCGTATTACATTTCAAAATTAATTTTGCTACACACATCCCATGCTGTTATGCTGAAAATGCAATCCTGCGTTTCCTAGACGCGAGTGTAAATGCATTTAGGACAAATAACATTTAAATGATCATTTTGCTACAGTTTCTGCTTGTACTTTATTCACAACAAATTCAGTTTGTGTATAGCATTTTCAATTTAATTTTGCTACTTATGAAGCTTTAAAATGTGGATACAATTTACATATTAACAGTGTTTGAAATGAGAAATGCAAACAATGTAATTTAATTTACATTTTCATTCTGCACCAAACACTGCTCATATGTCTTGGAAAATGCAAATTCAAATACAGAAATACATTGCCATTTAACATATTGCATTGCCATTTTGCATATTACATTTTGAATTAAATTATGCTACTTATATGCTTCCATAGCGCCATGGCTCGCCAAAACGTGGTTTTTAATTATGTTTCCTTCAGTTTTGGTCGGTTGGTTTTACATTATAACTGAAAATGCTGTGTAATTGAAGGCATGTAATAGCGACACCCGGTGGTTATTTATTGAATTACGTTCATTTTTGTATAGCGGGCCAGATTCTATTAACGTTTATAAAAAGCCTCGCAGGCCGCCACAAAACTGATTGCGGGCCGCAGATGGCCTGCGGGCCGTAGTTTGGACACCCCTGTTTTAGACCATATTTGGGCACAGCAGGTTTATTGAGCACACTTCGTTTTTATTGTTCATTTATTCGTTTGCTGGAAATTAGAACTGAATTTAGAAATAGTTTAGAAACAAATATTTGTGTTTAACAAACAAAAATAATTATTTATTGGCTAATTGTTGTCTGTGTACAAGGTTTCCCTATCCACAAGAGCGAAAGTGAAAATAGATAATGGAGGCTTATCTCATTCTCGCGCTGTAGATGCTCTGTTTAACTGTTTTCTTGCTAGTGAAATGCTCGGTTTTTCCACTTACACATACTTTACATAATGTAAATAGCAAATGCGTTTATAGAGCGACGCAACTGGCTCTTAAAGGGAATGGGAGATGAGACTTTGGTTGGTTTATTCACAAAACACACCTATAACTCATTAAGAAAATAATCTCAACCCTTTTAGAACTTGCGCCACGGCGCAAAGCGGATTTTTCCGTCCTTATATTAGCAAAAGTGGATTTTGACAAGCCCTGGAAGCATTAGCCCCCTGCGCTTTGCGCTTTGCGAATGGACCATCAAAATAGAGCCCTCAGTGTGGGCCTACCTGTAGCCTAACAACGGACATGCGAAGGGAATGCGCCATTTAAAAAGCATATACAACCAACAAACCAACGTTTTTTTCTATTTGGAAAATGAAAGTTATTAATAATAGTTCTTATAAAAAATAAATTTTTAAAATAGCCTATAAGAAAATTCAATGATTTACTTAATTTTTGCATTTGGGGATCTCCTTACACAAAACATTAAATATAGTGTAGTTTTCTGTTGATCTTCTAACCTGAGAGCAAATTTGTTTTTAAATAATAATTTATTAAAATAAAACAAAACTGCCTCATGCAAATAATGTGGAAATATTGAAGATGTAAATGAAAAGTACACAATGCTACCTGAGGTTGCAATGGGAGATTCTTGGGTTGATATTGTCACTGCTGTTGTAGATGCTAATATGTTGCTAATTTCTGTAACTTCTACAACACAAGGAAAAATAAATTAATTAATGATACTGTACATCATTAATCAATGCCAATTCTTTTCAAACACACCCTAAAACTGAAAAAAAGGCAATCTACCTGCACAATAAGATGAACAGAATGTTGGCTTGGTTAAATGATACACGTAATAATTTCCAGGACAGGCTTTGACCTGTATGGGATGAGATGTGTAACCACAGCAGTCAGTCCAGGTAGGACTGCAGACTTGACGAGTGACCACTCCATCTTCCAGACTTGGGTGGGAGCCGTTGAGCCAAAGTGGCTGATTACTGCCACACATGCCATTGCTAACACATGAATCTGGCATCTGGACACTCTGAGCATTGTAGAACAGCCTGTACCAGCCATTCCAGACAACATTATAATCACACACGCTACCGAAGTAAGAATTGTTGCTGGCTCTCCAAGGCTCGTCCAGATTGGTATAGTTGTAGCAGGGGTCCGTATTTGAGGTGTTAAATGAAACTAAAGTGAAAATATAAAGAATGTATGTGTATCAGTGCCCAGCATAGATAACTACACATGTAGAGGTTTAAATGTAATTGAACCTGCAAAGAATATATATTGTACATGATACAATTGCAAAAATGGGTCCCACTTTATATTAAAGGGCACCTAGGTTACCCCTTTTTTCAGATATAATATAAGTGTTTTGTGTCTTCAGAATGAATATGTAAAGTTTCAGCTCAAAACACCCATCAGATTTTTCATTACACCTTTTACAAGATCCTTTTTTTAACATTTTCCACCAGGGGGACGTTTAGTCGAACCGCGCCTTTAAGGATAGTCCGCCCCGCCCACCGTTTCTACGTGCCTTTCTGCGCGCCTTAAAGGCTGATTTATACTTCTGCGTCAAGCGCACGCGTATGCTACAGTGCTGACGCATAGCCCTATGCCGTGGCTATGAGGTAAACACAAAACAAAGCTTTCCATCAGGAGCTCCTTCGCAAGACTCCACACTTGTAAACAATCGCTCCATTGGACTCGTGCGGCTCTCGGTCCCGCCCAGACTCGTCAGCGCTACCAAGCCGACCAATCACAGAGCTTGTGCTACATGTTGTTGCGACATGTAGTTACATTCTTTGAGACACGCACGTCAGCGACGCCAACGGCCACGGCGTAGGGCTATGCGTCAGCAATGTAGTATACGCATGCGCTTGATGCAGAAGTATAAATCAGCCTTTAATCTCCTCCCTCGGCTGCGTAAGACAACAGACAGACAGACTTAGGAAGAAGATCTCACGTAGCGTTTATGAGAAATCGTCTCGGGTTACGTATGTAACCATAGTTCCCCGAGAGGGAACGAGACACTGCGTCTAACCAGAACGCTAGGGGAACACCTCTTTTATACGCGTCTTGAAGCACATGTGAAATCAATCTAATGTAATTAAGCAGGTGTCGTCAGACCAGAGAGTATAAAAGCCTGTACTGAGCATTCAGTATCAACTTCGAATTTGCTTGAAAGAAGTAACAGGCAGAAGAGAGTATGGCGGAATACGCAGTGTCTCGTTCCCTCTCGGGGAACTATGGTTACATACGTAACCCGAGACGTTCCCCTTCTAGGGAACTTCAACACTGCGTCTAACCAGAACGCTAGGGGAACGCAATACCCACTAGGCCAGACTCACTGCTGACTGTGAACGCACACTACGCAGTGAGAATAGAGGACCCTGGTGAGGGGTCTACATCGAGTTGATAGTGACGCACAAATGTATGTGGAGTCGACCATCCTGCCGCCAAACAAATGTCAGAAAGGGCTGAGCCCGAAATAGAAGCTTTGGAGGCCCCGACAGCCCTTGTGGAGTGGGCCTTAACAAATTTAGGTGCAGGGCGTCCAGCAGCCTGATAGGTAAATGAGATAGTCTCAACTATCCAATTACTTATTGTCTGCTTATTTGCCGGACTCCCCCTTTTTGAGGGTCCGAAGCAGACCAGTAACTGTTCACTCTTTCTCCAGTTGATAACCCGGTTAACATATGTATTCAGAGCTCTAACTGGGCAGAGTAAGTTTAACTTCTCTTGGTCCGACGACTGAAATGGGGGCGGGTTAAAGGCCTGTAGCACAGCAGGTCTCGCCACATGAGTGGGCACCTTAGGCACGTACCCCGGTCTGGGATAAAGAAAGGCTTTGGACATGCCTGGAGCAAACTCCAGAAATGAAGGTGCAACCGACAAAGCCTGGAGGTCACCAACCCTTTTTAAGGAAGAAATAGCTAATAAGAAAGCTGTTTTTAGTGTCAGAAACTTATCTGACGCCTCCTGCAGTGGCTCAAATGGGGGAACAGAGATGCCCTCGAGCACCAATGTTAAATCCCATGTCGGTACCCTGTTTGTGCTGACAGGCCTTAGCCTTATGGCTCCACGAAGGAAGCGACGAATTAGCGGATCCTGTCCTAGTGACTCATCATCTAGGGGAGAACGGTAGGCCGCTATAGCTGACACGTACACTCTCAGAGTGGATGCAGCTAACCCAGCAGACAGGCGATCTTGGAGAAATTCCAGCACTGAGGCTACCTGGCAGCTGACTGGGTTCAGCTGGTGTTCTCTGCACCAAGCTGAAAAGAGAGCCCATTTTAGGGCATAAAGCTTCCTTGTGGAGGGAGCCCTGGAGCTTAGAATGGTCTGAGCAACCTCGGTTGACAGTCCATACTCTATGAGGTGGGCCCCCTCAGAGGCCACACCCACAGTTTCCACAGGTCGGGTAGGGGATGAAGTATGGGACAGAAGGTCCCTGCTGATGGGGATCTCCCACGAGAGACCCGCCAGCAGGGCTATGATGTCCGAAAACCAAATCCTGGTAGGCCAAACCGGGGCTACCAGCAGTAACCGTACTCAGTCTTGACGGACCCTCTCCAGGACTCCTGGGAGCAGAGCGATCAGGGGAAAAGCATACAGACGTAGCCTCGGCTATGTCTGAACCATGGCAACCAGTCACGGAGGGGCTGGATGCGAGAGAGAAACTCATAGTACGCAATGCGTGGTCTCTTGGGAAGCAAACAGGTCTACCTGCGCTTTCCTTAATCTTTCCCAAATGGACTCCACCACCTCGGGGTGAAGAAGTTTCCATTCCCTGGATCTCACCCCCTGCCTCGACAGGAGATCTGCTCCCATGTTCAGATGGCCCGGGACATACATTGCCCTGATGGACAGGATTTTGTTCTGGGCCCACAGGAGGATCCGATGTGCTAGTTTGCATAGCATTCGAGACTTCAGACCCCCCTGCTGGTTGATGTAAGCGACCACCAATGTGTTGTTCGTGCAGACTAAAACATGATGGCCCCTTAGATCTGGGAGAAAGTGTTTTAAGGCCAGAAACACGGCCATCATCTCCAGGCAGTTTATGTGCCAGTAACGATGATGTTCTCCCCATCGTCCCGCTGCGGGAAGCCCCCTCAGGGTTGCTCCCCAGCCCGTTAGAGAAGCATCTGTCATAAGCATGACGCGATGACAGACAGCCCCCAACACTAGGCCCTGGGACAGATACTAGGGCATTTTCCACATACTTAAGGCTCGAAGGCAGCGCCGCGAGACCTTGATCATGCGGATCAAGCCCGTTGCTCCCTAGCCCGTCAGAGAAGCATTTGTCATAGGCATGACGCGATGACAGACAGCCCCCAACACTGGGCTCTGGGACAGGAACCAGGGTATTTTCCACATACTTAAGGCTCGAAGGCAGTGCCGCGAGACCTTGATCATGCGGAAAGGATTCCCCTTGAGGGAAAACCCCCTGGATTTGAGCCACCACTGCAGGGGTCTCATGTACAGCAGACCGAACGGAATCAAGCTGGCTGCTGCTGCCCTGAGACCCAACAACCTCTGAAAGTGTTTCACTGTGATGAACTGGCCTAGTTTGACTCTGTGTACGGTTGACTGAATCGATTCGATTCATGGCGGGGACAGACGTGCTCGCATCGTCATGGAGTCCCATAGCACACCTAAAGAAATGGTCGTCCTGGCTGGAACAAGCACACTTCTTGCGGTGTTTAACCGAAACCCCAACCCTCTGATATGGGTGAGAACGACATCTCGATGCCGAACTGCCATATCTTGAGTCTGAGCTAGATTTAGCCAATCGTCTATGCAGTTTAGGATACGTATCCCCTGCATACGAAGTGGAGCTAGTGCCGCTTCGACTATTTTGGTAAAGGTTCGAGGTGACAGAGCTAGGCCGAATGGAAGAACCCGATACTGGAACGCTTCGCCCCCGCAAGCGAACCTCAGGTATTTCCTGTGTTGGGGAAGGATGGAAATATGGAAGTATGCGTCTTTCAGGTCTATCGTCACAAACCAGTCCTCGGACTGAATTTGTGACACCACGTTTTTGATGGTTAACATCCTGAACCTGAGGGCCTCGACGGACCGATTTAGATTTCTCAGATCTAATATGGGACGCAATCCCCCATCCTTTTTGGGAACTATAAAATACCGGCTGTAAAACCCTGACTCTTTGTCGAGTGGGAGAACACGCTCTATTGCGCCTTTTATTAATAAGGCCAGTACTTCCTGTTCCATAACCAGAGCCTGTTCTGGCTTCACTATGGTGGGTGCAATACCGTTGAAGCGAGGTGGGCGTGCACAAAACTGTATTTTGTAGCCGTGTTCTACTGTGAACAGGACCCACTGGGACACCATCGGCAGGTGTTTCCACGCTGCCAAAAAATGTGCTAGGGGTACCAGCCTCTCGAGACTGGCCTCTGGTTGTTCTTTGACCCCCCTGCAGAGGGGGTGGGGCCCCCAATGCCCTCAGACACTGAGGAACGCCCACCCCGGGAGACACAGAGCCCCCCACCAGCATACGTGGTGAGGTGGTCTCTCCCTTTCTCCGCGGACCCTGGTTCAGTGAGAGCGCTGAATGGTGCTCTCGGCGTCCAGGGGGGGCCCTGGAAAGCCTGACTCCCAACACGTCAGGACTTTGTTTTATCCTTTGAACTTCATGATATGAGGAGCTGGTTGACGGCTGGCCCAGACTTTTTGATCTTGGGGGGAGAAAGTCCCCGAGGGAGCTAGAGCGTTTTTTAACTCTGTCGAGGGATTCGGCGACGCGATCAACGGCGTCACCGAAGAGCCCTGAGCTCGATATTGGAGCGTCCATAAGAATAGCTCTATCGGTTTCTGACACTTCTGCTTGTGTCAGCCAGAGGTGCCGCTCAGTAGCCACCAGGGTAGCCATAGATCGCCCCAAACTAGAGGCTGCCTCTTTAGTAGCTCTTAAAGCTAGATCTGACGCCCGAAGAGCTTCTCGAAGCTGTTCGGGTGTTGCTCCCCCACCATCTAGGCACTCTTTAATTAGGTCAGCCTGATATGCCTGCAGCACTGACATGGTGTGCAGGCATCCAACAGACTGACCAGCCGTCATATATGCTTTACTGACTAGACCCGATGTTAATCTTAATGGTCTCGACAACAAAGGAGGGACCCTTGCAGATTTTAGATCTGAACGACGATGACACGCTAAGTCCTCTTCTATCATTGGCATTACTGTACATGCCTTTTCCCCTAGCCCACGAACTGCTGAATAAATAGCTGTTTTTGGTGTCATTAACCATGCTGAATACGGATTTTTCCATGATTTAGAAACCGCATCATGTAGCTCGGGACAAAAGGGGAGGTCCCTTAGTGGAGGATCTACTCTGCTGGGTAATTCTCTCTCATCCAGCATTCCTGTCAGACGCAGCTGCTGCTGCTCACGTGCTGGCTGCCAATCTATTACATCGAACCGGTCAGCAGCACGTGAAATCACCTCCACTAACTCCTCATATTCCGCTGACTGGGGCGGCAGATTCCCCGACCCTCTTTTTATTTGTTGCTGCGGCGCCTCGGTTTCCTCGGAAACGGAGGACGCCGCCCTCTCACGAGGCGCAGAAGAAACCGCAGAGCGTGCTTCTGACGCTCCCGAAGGAGGATTAGATCTCACGGATCCAGAGAGAGAAAGGACAGAGTCCGTCTCCATCTCATCCGCCAGATCTAGCTGCGAACCCCACGACCGAAGTCGATGCTCAGCCTCAGCACGAGCGGGACCCGAACCGCGAGGAGCGTGCGCCACGGGAGCTTTATTAAAGAACTCTCTCCGACTGCGCAGCTCTTTACGGGAGAGAACGTCACAGTGTCCACAGTCAGCATTCTCAAATGCTACCAGGGCATGCTCTTCTCCCAAACACTCTAAACACAAATCATGTGAGTCACCAGCCGTAATAAAGCGAGGGCATGGAGGCACACAACGTTTAAAGTTTTTCTCTGCCATACCAAAATAAAAAAGTAAGTTGTCAGTTTTTTTGTATTTTGTGTATGCAAATCAGTAATGAAAGATCACAGAAAGAGGGTGTATTTTCACGTGCGTGCTTCTTGAAAGCAAAGAAGTTGATACTGAATGCTCAGTACAGGCTTTTATACTCTCTGGTCTGACGACACCTGCTTAATTACATTAGATTGATTTCACATGTGCTTCAAGACGCGTATAAAAGAGGTGTTCCCCTAGCGTTCTGGTTAGACGCAGTGTTGAAGTTCCCTAGAAGGGGAAACTACAGTTAAGCATTTTACTAATGAGTATTTGTTGTGGAGATGCATCATGAGTCAAACACAATGTCAATATACAAAGTTCACGCGCACGCATGCACACACACACACACACACACAACGCATTTAGATTCTCACTCTTTTTGCACGCAAATGTGACAGGATACAGGCTAATCTCCACTGCTGTATGGATATCTGTTATGTTAATGTACAAAATAAACCTGATTTAACATCCAAAACCGGGACTGAAGCGTCTTCTTTCATAATTGTTCAGACACGCAGCTGTGCTGATGAAGTAAAGCTGAAGTAATTCTGTAATTCATTACAGAAGTGCACTGTTTTAAAACATTTTAAACATGTAAAAACTTACTCTTAATCACATTTAATGATGATTGATGATCCTAGCGAACTGAACAGACCTTTTATTCCCGGTTGCTTTGCGCATGTTTGGTCTTGTTGATCTGATTACACACGTGACTACCAGGACATGCTATGCGAAGCTGTCAATCAATTCGGTGGGCGGGGGAACCGCACTTCTACATCAAGTTGCGGTACTTGCAGGTGCTTTCCCACTTCCGCAGCTGTTTGCTTTTAAAATACTGAATTAGAATAAGAATGGCAGAACTAACGCTGCATTAGAAGGTTACACCTTGTGATACCAGTGAAATTACAAGGTAAATCCTCAGAAACTGTCCACTCAATATAAAGTGTAAAATGGTCACAAACTACTGTGTAATATATAAAACCCCTTTGTGCAACTGTTTAACAACAGCAAACTTTTCCCAAAAAGAATAAGCGTATATAGAAATATACAAATGCCTTATGTGTAGTTTTAAATTGAATTGTAGAATCACATCAGTAATTCACATTAAAGGGGTACTTTACCAAATGTTGTGTGATTAATGTCCTGTTACACATTTGAACTTACACATACTATTCAGTGTTTTTACACATGTGTAGTTACACCAATAATACAAAAGTAAATACTATGTACTAAGTTCACAGGTAAAAGCGACACAATATAAAGTGGGACCCAAAAATGTAATTATCAAAGGAGGTGTACTAACTTGTCCATGTTATATTGAATTAAATGCATATACAGTAATTAATGAAAACATTTAAAATTGACAAGTCCGTAAATGCATTTTTTTAAATGAAATGACAGTAGATGTACATTATATAAGGCATTAAGGAGAATGTACCTGCACAATATACTGGAGCTGGCATTGTTAGCTTTGGCCTAATAAGTTTATAAACATAGTAATTTCCAGGACATGCTTTGACTTGGATTGGGTCTGATCTGTAGTTGCACTGGTTATAAATAGAGCCGTAAACCTTTCGAGTAACAACTCCATCTTCAAGTTGTGGATGAGGGTCACCAAGCCAAAGTGAAACGTACCCTCCACATGACATATAAGTGAAACACCACTCGGGAATCTCAGCACTTGACCCATTGATAAAGAGTCGATACCAGCCATCCCAGTGAACACGAGAGTCATCGTGTGCATGTTCATCCGCGAACCAGTTGTTGTATGTGGTTCTCCAGTAATTGTCAAGACTGTTGTAGTTATAGCACGGGTCATAATCTGCATTGATTGTAGATGGTGAAAAGAGAAGAAGGATAAAATTAAACATAAAAAATAAACAGTCCTCCCATAATGAAGCTCCAAAAGGATGGAGTAACAACTTCTTTAAAGAAGAACCCCATTATTTCTTTGTGCAAATTATATTGTTTTACACGCTCCAGCATTTAAAAAAAGTCTATGATTAGTTTTGCTAAATACATGCACTCGTTTTCCATATTAATTGAAATATAAATGGCACATATAGAGCCTGTGTTTCCTTTTCAAATATTGAGAATATTACATATTCTATTCTAAAACATAAAATCACTTTAAAAAAAGCTACCACGTATTCTAATATCATATATATAAATCATATAAATAATGAGGCTATGTATTAAGAAATAAAAATGTATATTTAATATTTATTAGGAAATTAAAAAATCCTATTTTAATGATAATCTAAATAATATTAATGATGATGGTGATGGTGATGATGATGATGATTATTATTATTATTATTATTATTATTATTATTATTAAGTAGGATATTGTTTATTTATTTTTTATTTTTTGAAAAGGCTACTTTTACAATTTGCATTGTAAAAAAACAACATGCATACTACAGAAATGTTCTAACAAACAGGCTCATGCCACAAACAGTACAGATATTTAATAAATAAGCTACTATAAATTAAAAGCATTAGCGTATACTATGTTTTTTGTTTTCACAAACTTTGGAGACGTAACATACATTCCGATTTTAAATAATAGGTCACCTATAGCTTTCGACATGAGGCTGTGTTCAAAATGACATTAATGTTTTCAAAGTGCACTGTGAAGGGAACGCAATTGTAAACATAAAGATTGCTAAAACTAAACTGTAAAAACACTTTGAAAGCAAATTACACCTAAAAGATATTACTTTAATGCTTTTTTTATAATTCCAAGTTTAAATGTAAGAATGTTCTAAATGAATAGGGCATGGGGGGATAAGTGGAAATAGAACACAGTCAGGAACTATGTTTCTAACTACAGCCCCAGAGGTGTAGTTGCAAGTGCATAGGTTTGCGACACCGTCTGTGTATGTTTGTGGGAATATTGGATTAGGGAAACGGCAAATCAATGAATGTTTGTAACGACGGAACTTGCAACCTTAGTTGGCTAATGATGGTTTTTCAGAAACGCACCGCAGGCCCATTGCTAGTTTAGTTTGGACTGAAATTATTTATTAAATTATCAAATATAGTAGTACATGTGATTTAATCTCTTTATTACTTCTACATGCCCCATTGAAGGGTCCCCACTCCAAACAAAATGACAATGTCAAATTCCAGGACTTTTCCATGAATTACCAAGACCTTACAATGAATTGAAAAACAGTCCAATCAAAACTGATTATGAGATCCATCTCCTTAGTCGTATGTAGGGTTGGGTACCAAAACCCGGTGCCATTATAGCACTGGTAATTAGCTTACTATTGCCGATATAGCAATAGTAAGCTAATGTAATTTCATAATGCAAATCTTAAATTCATGCTAACCAACAAATGATTAAAGAAAATGTATTAATGCAATACATTATGAATTGATGTTTACTTTAAACTTTACTTATATTGTTCCATTAAAATGATTTAAAAAAATATTTTGTCAAATAAAGCCATCCAACATCATTTTGTGGCGATTTAGCACCGGTATTGAAGAGAAAGAAAAAAAAAAAAAAAAAAAAAAAAAAAAAACGATACCCAACCCTAGTCGTGTGACTTGCTTTTTAGTCACATCATGTATCATGTATCACATCATGTCACTGCAACGTGCATTCAGCCAAAGTTCATTTTTACTGTACTAGGCTGTTTGGTAAATCTTTTGCTAAAATTTGAAAATGTAACAGGATTTTCTAATGGTTTCGTTGAAGATATTTTAACATTTTGTATTATTGTTTTGATACCTTATAGTTATTCACGTATCACATTTAAAAAAAAAAAAGTTAGGCCAAGATAATTAAATTTTTTCTGCATGTAAAATCCAAGGCCTGGTTGAGCTCTGATAAAAAAAAAAAAAAAAAAAAACGACCAAAAAGAATGAGAAGTACAAAATAAATATTATAAAATGTAAAAAATGTATAATAAAATGCATAAAAATACAGTTTAATAAATGGAAAGTACTATTTAAAATAACAAACAAAAAATAAATATTCAGACTTTCCTAACCCTTCAATGTCTGGAACCCTGGATTCATTATGGTCGATGATTTTTTAGGCGACAATTTATTTACTTTTTTTTTTTAGATATTTAGAAACATACTCAAGGTAATGCTGGATCCAGTGATGGCAGCTGGACTTGTAGTGGGAAGCTGAGATAGTGTTCTGACATCTGAAAATAAGAAAGTGTAACAAATTACAGCATGGACCTTTTTTTAATCCGACATTTGTGTGATAGAACTGCTTTTTAAAAATGTAAGTGAAATGTATCACCTATACAATATCCTGAACAAGGGAATGATGGATCAGATAATTCATAGACATAGTAATCGCCTGGGCAAGCTTTGACTCTGATAGGTGTTGATCTAAAAGCACAGCAGCCAAACCCTACGCTTCCACAGAGCTCCCTGATCACCACTCCATCCTCTATTTGAGGGTGAGGACCGTTGAGTGACAGACTGTTTTGTGTGTTACATCCGTTTGCACCAATACAGCTCTCTGGCATTCGGATGTTCATTCCATTGCAGAAAAGTCGGTACCAGCCATTCCAGGTGAAAGCCCCATCACAGACGAAGAATCCACTTTCATTTGTGGCTCTCCAGGGACGATCTAGAGATTCATAGTTGTAACAAGGATCATCACTGATGTTGTTAAAAGCAACTGTTAGGGAGAAAAAAAGGTTGTTATAATGTTTGAATGTAGCACTGTTAGAATAATGTCCAAAATGTCTGATTCTTTACTACATATCATTAAATGAAATGCAATTCTTAGCTATTTTATACCACAATATTAATAATGAATCAAAAAGAACCATGTTATACACAAGTACCTGTACAGTATGTAGGCCTAGGCATAAATGTGCTTGGTTTGACGAGTTCATAGACGTAATAATCTCCTGGGCAGGCTTTGACTTGGATGGAGTTGGATCTATAGTTGCCACATTGGCTAAAAGACCACCCTGATGACATTCCTAACACATCACGGGTCACCACTCCATCCTCAAGTTTGGGATGAGAGGCATTGAGATACAGTCCAGTTCCACCACCACATTCTGAGTAACTCACACACCACTCAGAGAGCTGAGCACTTGTGCCATTCAAATACAGCCGATACCAACCGCTCCATTCAACAAGAGTGTCATCGTGGACATTGTATGGGGAGTTGTGGCCGAGTACCTGTAAACCTCTCCAGCCATCATCAAGAATACTGTACTGAGTGCACGGTTCAGAGACGGGAGTTCTGACATCTAGGAGACAAACAATGAAAAAAGTGAGGTAAGAAATGTTAGCCTTTACATTTGACTTTGTTAAATAGAATAAGGCCCAATCCCAATTCTATTTTTGTACCCCTTCCTTTTGGCCCTTAAAAGCGAGTGTTAAGGGGAAGGGCTTCAATATTTACTCCTAAGAAATGGGACACCACTACAGCACCTGCATATGAGATTGCGATGGCGACTGCGGTAGTTATTACAGTTGTGTTTTTGGTATTTATCTTCAGGAAATCACTGAAGGCATATAGCATGTTATCATAATAATCTAATGTGGCAATAAGATTGTAATACTGCACACGTTACACGGTGGCCATATTCATCTATGTAAACACACAAAAAACAGCATTAACATTATTCTAGACACTGCAAAAAGCTCATTACCAGCCACTAGACTTTTCTGACAGGGGATTCCAGTGTAAGAATGTTGTGGGACTGCTAAACAGGAGATATTGTTAGGGAATATAGATTGCAAAATCTAGCAGTTTTTTTTTTTTTTTTTTTTTTTGTAACTTGACTGTAAAATAAGAATGTGGTTATAGATATATATATAAACAAACACTTGGAGTCAGAATTATTCGGCCCCTTTTGATTTGTTTATTTATTTATTTTTTAATCTTTTTAAAATATTTCCCAAATGATGTTTAACAGAGCAAGGAAATTTTCACAAGATATCTGCAAATATTTTATTTTTATTCTGGAGAAAATCTTATTTGTTTTATTATGGCTAGAATAAAATCAGTTCTTAATTTAAAAAAAAAAAAAAAAAAAAAATATATATATATATATATATATATATATATATATATATATATATATATATATATATATATATATATGTATATTTTAAGGTCAAAATTATTAGCCCCTTTAAGCTATATTGATTTTTTTTCGATAGTCTACAGAACAAACCATTGTTATACAATAACTTGCCTAATTTAAAATTGACAAGTCTATAAATTAATTTGTTAAATGAAATGACAGTAGATGTACATTATATAAGGCATAAAGGAGAATGTACCTGCACAATATACTGGAGCTGGGATTGTTAGCTTTGGCCTAATAAGTTTATAGACGTAGTAATTGCCAGGACAGGCTTTGACTTGGATTGGGTCTGATCTGTAGTTGTTGCACTGGTGATAACTGGAGCCGTAGACCTTTCGAGTAACAACTCCATCTTCAAGTTGTGGATGAGGGTCACCAAGCCAAAGTGAAACGTACCCTCCGCATGACATATGAGAGAAACACCTTTCAGGAATCTCAGCACTTGACCCATTGATAAAGAGTCGATACCAGCCATCCCAGTGAACACGAGAGTCATCGTATGCATGTTCATCCGCCAACCAGTTGTTGTGTGTGCTTCTCCAGTGATTGTCAAGACTGTTGTAGTTATAGCACGGGTCATAATCTGAATTGACTGTAGGTAGTGAAAAGAGAAGAATTATAAAATTAAACAAAAAATAAACAGTGCTACTTTGTTTACATATACGTTAACCACACAACAGACATTATTAGAAGACATGGGATCAGCTTTTACTACTATGCAGATAATACTCAATTATATATTTCAACTAAACCTGATGAGATGTCTGAAATGTCTAAGCTAACTGAGTGTATTAGAGATGTTAAAGACTGGATGACCCATTAACCCCATTAAAGAGCTCTGAACAATACAAAAACAGCCAAAAACATATGTTATAAAATACATTTTAATAAATATAAGGTAAAATTTAAAATGAAAAACAAAACATATTTATATTCAGACGTTCCTAACCCATCAATGTCTGAAATAAACCTCTTAATATTCCATGATGTTTCATGACCCGTGGGAACCCTGGATTAATTATGTTTAATGACTATTTTAAGTGACAGCTAAAGATATTTACATATTTTACAATAGAAACATACTCAAGGTAATGCTGGATCCAGTGATGGCAGCTGGACTTGTAGTGGGAAGCTGAGATAGTGTGCTGACATCTGAAAATAGGAAGGTGTAAAAAAAATAGTGCATGGACCATTTGTGTGCTACAACTAATTTTTTTAATTTTTGTTTAAATGTCTCACCTATACAATATCCTGAACAGGGGAATGATGGATCAGATAATTCATAGACATAGTAATCGCCTGGGCAAGCTTTGACTCTGATAGGTGTTGATCTGAAAGCACAGCAGCCAAACCCTACGCTTCCACAGAGCTCCCTGATCACCACTCCATCTTCTATCTGAGGGTGAGGACCGTTGAGTGACAGACTGTTTTGTGTGTTACATCCGTTTGCACCAATACAGCTCTCTGGCATTCGGATGTTCATTCCATTGCAGAAAAGTCGGTACCAGCCGTTCCAGGGGAAAGCACCATCACAGATGAAGAATCCACTTTCATTTGTGGCTCTCCAGGGACGATCCAGAGATTCATAGTTGTAACAAGGATCATTACTAATGTTGTTAAAAGCAACTGTTAGGGAGAAAAAAAGGTTGTTATAATGTTTGAAATAGAACTGTTAGAATGTTGTCCAAAATGTCTGATTCTTTACTACATATCATTAAATGAAATGCAATACTTAGCTATTTTATACCACAATATTAATATTGAATCAAAAAGAACCAAGTTATACACAAGTACCTGTACAGTATGTAGGCCTAGGCATAAATGTGCTTGGTTTGACGAGTTCATAGACGTAATAATCTCCTGGGCAGGCTTTGACTTGGATGGAGTTGGATCTATAGTTGCCACATTGACTGAAAGACCACCCTGATGACATTCCTAACACATCACGGGTCACCACTCCATCCTCAAGTTTGGGATGAGAGGCATTGAGATACAGTCCAGTTCCACCACCACATTCTGAGTAACTCACACACCACTCAGAGAGCTGAGCACTTGTGCCATTCAAATACAGCCGATACCAACCGCTCCATTCAACAAGAGTGTCATCGTGGACATTGAATGGAGAGTTGTGGCCGAGTACCTGTAAACCTCTCCAGCCATCATCAAGAATACTGTACTGAGTGCACGGTTCAGAGACGGGAGTTCTGACATCTAGGAGACAAACAATAAAATTAGTGACACAGATAAGATATGTTTGCCTTTGCATTTGACTTTTTTAAATAGAATAAGGCCCAAACCCAATTCTATGTTTGTACCCCTTCCCCTTGGCCCTTAAAAGCAAGTGTTAAAGAGAATGGCTTCAAAATTTACCCCTAAGAAATGGGAAACCACTAAAGCACCTGCAAATGAGATTGCGATGGCGACTGCGGTAGTTATTACAGTTGTGTTTTTGGTATTTATCTTCAGGAAGTCACTGAAGGCATATAGCATGTTATCATAATAATCTAATGTGGCAATAAGATTGTAATACTGCACACGTTACACGGTGGCCGTATTCATCTATGTAAAAAAAAAAAAAAACAGCATTAACATTATACTAGACACTGCAAAAAGCTCATTACCAGCCACTAGACTTTTCTGACAGGGGATTCCAGTGTCAGAATGTTGTGGGACTGCTAAACAGGAGATATTGTTAGGGAATATAGATTGCAAAATCTAGCAGTTTTTATTTTATGTATTTTTTATTTTATTTTTATTTTTTTTGGAACTTGACTGTAAAATAAGAATGCGGTTATGAACATTAAAACATGTGTTTGTTTGTTGTAAAAATTCATAATAATGACAAAAAATACTAATTTGTGGATCTCTTACTTCCGAGTGCAGCTATACTGCCGTTGTGGCAGGTGTATTCTGGGAAATTTTCTTACCCCTTAGTTTCAAGTGGTTGCCTGAAAAATCTTCATTCCAAGGGGTATCTACCTCTTCCCCTACGCCTTCAAGCTAAAGAGAATTGGTACAAGGGGTAAGGGGAAGAGCTAAGAGGCAGAATTGGGATTGGACCGTAAAGTAGAACTGACTGCTCTCTGTCATAATGCAAGTAAAAATGGGCATTGGACAATCCAAACTGGCAAACCATGCACAGTATTGTAGACACTTAAAACACAGTGAATAAGTCCTCATTTTGAGTTATTTATATATTTTTTTATACAATTTAAGAATACTTTCCAACTTTTTTACATAAGTGCCTGATAAAAAAATGTATATATATATATGCAGCTTAGTTTAAAATAATAATAATTCACAATCAATAAAGAACCAATGGAAGCACTTAAATAACAGCAAAAATGCAAACCTGTTAAAATATACACCAAATCTACTTTTAGGTTTTGAACTGTGTGTGTGTGTGTGTGTGTGTGTGTGTGTGTGTGTGTGTGTGTGTGTGTGTGTGTGTGTGTGTATACATACATACATACATACATACATACATACACACACAGTTGGAGTCAGAATTATTAGCCCCCTTTTGATTTGTTTTTTCTTTTTAAAATATTTTCCAAAATGATGTTTAACAGAGTAAGGAAATTTTCACAGCATGTCTGATAATATTATTTTATTCTGGATAAAGTCTTATTTTATTTTATTAGGGCTAGAATAATAAAATTTTAAGGTCAAAATTATTAGCCCCTTTAAGCTATATTGTTTTTTTTTTTCCGATAGTCTACAGAACAAACCATTGTTATACAATAACTTACCTATTTACCCTGACCTGCCTAGTTAATCTAATTATATATATATATATATATATATATATATATATATATATATATATATATATATATATATATATATATATATATATATATATATATATACATATATATATATATATATACACACACACACACACACACACACACACACACATTGCTGGTCAAAAGTTTGGGGTCAGTACAATTTTTAAATGTTTAAAAAAAAAGCTTTTTTCTGACCGAAGGCAGAATTTATTTAATCAAAAATACAATTAAAGTTGTAAATCGCGAGAGCGTCAAATCTCGCTACATTGATCTCGTATTTAAAGGAGCCGTTGCAAAATATCAGTTACATTCCTGCATAAAACATGTTTCTAGCGTGAAAATGTTGTGCACTTCTTATCAAATTCATATAACAATGGAAGGTCAAGTTGCGTCTGGTGTGGCTTTGCTTTATTTATCCAATATGTATCCATATGTCTGAAATATCCTGAAGCAGCTATACTGTTTTGTACTGTCACGTCGCGTGAGTTTACCGCTTTTTTTAGATAAATTTATATAACTTTAATGAACATCAGTAACTCGCCAGTAACTTATTTAATGCATGTTCCTGTAAGAAAACATTGTAAAGAAGATTCCGGCGACCACAATCATCAAACCCTTGGGAACAACTGTGGTCGGAACCAAAATTCACAGGTCTGTGTTCTTTGAACTCCTATCAAGCGGTGGACGTCTTCATTCTGATTGCTTGCCGCCGAACCGCATCATAGCTCATTACCATAAAATTGACTTGATTTCAACTCTCCTTGACGCCCACACGGGAGAAGACGCGCCGTGCTGCTCCTCGCCGCTTAACGCCGCCGGCTCTCATTGAAAATGATTGACTTCCAGCTACTTTGACACTCTCGCCGCTTTCGGTGTGAACGTACGGTAAGAATTGGGAGAGCACTACAGCACCTGCACATGTCATCATATGTCCTCGCTATTTCTTGCTTCATATGAGATCAGACAATCATGACTGCTGTAGTGATTCCAGTTGGGTTATTTTTTGGTATTTATCTTCTGGAAATCACTCAAGGCATATATCATGTTATCATAATGATTTAATGTGGCAATAAGATCGTAATATTATGCATTTAACACAGTGTCCATACTCAATGTAAACACACAAAAACAGCATTATCTGTCACGGTATGTTGACGGGACAGAGACAAAAAGGTGTTGGATGCAATTGCCTTTAATGATGGTAATCGTGCAGTAACAGAAAAACCAAAATCCAAAAATCAAAGTAACAAAATAACAACAAACAAACAAAACAAGAAACTATGGCAGAATAACGAGAACAAGGCTCAGGAACTATGGCAGGATGCAAAACACTTCTCAGGAACAACATACCAAAGAAGACGAACGACGAACTGACAAACAGTGGGTGAATGGTGAATAAATAGTCCATGAAATCAACAGGAAACGGAGACAGCTGTGAATTGCAAATCAGTGAAAGTGGAACCGGGTGTGTGCACGTGGTATGTATGGACTTGTAGTTCTTTAACCGCTGTAGTTCGCTATGAGAGTTTGCTGGTAAACTACAGTGGCATCTGGTGGTCAAAGACAGTCATGACATTGACATTATAGCAGACACTGTAAAAAGCTCATTGACAGCCACTAGACTTTTCTGACAGGGTATTCCAGTGTCATTAAAATTTAGCGGTTCTTATTTTATCTTTTTTTTTTTAAAAAGCATGACGGTAAAACATAAACGCGGTTATGAATATATTAAAATGTGTTTGTTTGTATTAAAAATTCATAATAATGACAAAGGCTGTTTCTCAATTCCAAGAACGCAGAGAACGGACTTGCGTTCTTGTGGAGATCGGTCTTGCCAGGTGTCATCGAAAGAACAAACTCAGGAGACCGCGAGGGCAGAGAACGCGTCCTTTGAGAATTGAGATGCTGCGTTCTTCCTTATGGTCACATGACCTTCACGTGTTGTAAATGGTAAATTATTTAAACATTACAGCCTTCATACAACGATTTATTGTTTTTCCCCTTTTCAAAATTGCATAAAACATTATAAATATATGTCGCACAATATAAATAAAACTGATTTTAATACGAATTTCAGCAAACAAACAACCCTTAATGTGTTTATTTCTTTATTAAGATGTCCATGGTAATGTTTACTTTCACGGTGTCATTTAGGGAAACTTCAGAGATATCACTTATTTACCTTATTTACCTTTAATAATAAATCTAAATAAAATGCTGCGCTTCCCATCTCCAGTCGCAATGACTTCTGGGACTTCCAGTGCGAGTTCGGTGCTCAAGTCTGCATCAGTGCGTCCTCGATATCAAGATCACATCCGGGAAGTTTCACGCGTTCTCCGTACTTGCGGTCTTGAGTATTGGAACTGAACTTAATCAGCTGATGATGACGTTGCACGAGAACACGAGGACGCAAGACCGCTGAAGAACGCATATTGAGAAACAGCCAAGAAATACTAATTTGTGGATCTCCTTACTTCCGGGTGCAGTTGTTGCTGGGGTATTTTGGGAAATTTTTCTTACTCCTTGGTTTCGAGTGTGGTCCTGAAAAGTCTTCGTTTGAAGGGGTGTGTACCCCTTGCCCTTAGCCCTACGCCTTCAAGCTAAAGAGAATTGGGACACCACTACCCCTTCACGGGCACACGCAAAATGAGGGGTAGGGGGAAGGGCCAATGGGTGGAATTGGGATTGGGCCCAAGTGCTGTATATTTTAACTGAAATAATTGTACGTTACAGTATTTTGCCACTTTTATTAAATTTAAAACATTTGTTTATTTTATCCGTTCATTTTTGTGTATAATTTTATTGTATTTACATGTTGTTAAACCTTTTGTAATGCTTTGATAATAAAGATTTTAATGATAAAAGCAAAACTAATCATTATGGTCTGAAAACATAACTTTTTTTAAGATTTCTTTCATTACACTTTTAAACTTATCCAGAGAAAAAACTAGCCCATATTGTCTAAATAAACAAACAACCAATCAATTTTTAAAAAGTGTCAATGGAGAACAGAACATTACATTACCAGTTGTTGTGGTTGGTGGTGGGACAGATGGATTGCTGAGTTCTGAAAAGTGTTTTGGTGAATATTAGATGAAAAAAGGCGAAAAGACACTTCTACATACATATCATATTGTACATACATATCAGGCTTGTAACCAAGGGGGGTTTGGGGGGTTCAAAAGACCTACCCCTCACTGACAAAGGACCAAAATTTATCCCATACATGAGCTCATTTGTCTTATTTTGACTGCTATGCCTTCATAAATTGTCAAAATATCTCATCAAAAAAGGCTTTAAGACCAACTGGAATTTATGTCGCTTTGCTGTGACTTCAACTAATCAGTTTCAGCAAATACAATTATTTTCCAACAGTCCAACATCCTGCTGTGCAAGAAAACTTAAGAATCTGTAAGAGATGTCATCTTTCACTCTGTAGCGTAGCGCAAAATGCAGGGCCCCCCTGCAGTGGTTACTGAAGAGGGATCACGCTTAGAGGAGGGGGGTGGGGGGGGGTAATGAAGGTCGCTGAAACGCCACTGCTTTCACTACTGACCTACTGTATTGTTATTAAAAACAGAATTTTTTTTTTACAAGTAACAATTATTCTAAATCTTGGACCTTATTCTTAAAACAAAAAAAATGACCAACAAAAAGGTATGAAGCACCAAAAGTGGTCCATTTTAAAATTAATTTGAATACTAATTTGACTATTGTTATCCATGATTGTTCAAACATACTTTTCATAAGAGAGGCTAGAAAAATTCTTCTTCATTGCTAATAATATTATTATGTTTTTTCAAATTCAAAGGGCCAAATTCTGAATAAGGAAAGTTAAATGTACTGGTCTATTTGTTATTTGTCAAATGACAATATAGTACAGTTTTTAATTTAGTTTCCAATTTTATTCCTATTTTATTTCTAATGAAATACAATCTAATATATATTTTATTAATTTTCATTTATTTTAAATCATTTTGGTACATCAAAATGTGTGATTATGATGACCATCTGACAAGTTAATCCAGCTAAAAACTGTGCTTAAAAATATCACTAAAAGGAATATTTAAATCTCATAATTAAATTTACAATGAGGCGAATAACTGCAAAAAAATCCACTTTTTGAGAAAAAAAAAGAACCACCCCTTTCACTGGGCTGGCTACGGGGCTGCATATACACACGCTCACACACACGCACACGTGCACGTGCACACACACACACACACACACATCAGAGGGTACAGCATTCTAACTTACCAGTCAAGGCAGTCTGTGGAGTCACAGTTGAAACACTGATGTTCATGACATCTGTAAAGCAAATACACTAATAAATAAATACACATACAATAAAATAAGTACTGTACACAAGTACACCAAAAGCAGATCAGTTGTCTAACAAATCTCTCATTACAAAAGCCTTTTTGTTGATTGCAAACACACTCTTTTCATAATCCCTGGCTTCTCAGAACTTCTTTATACAGTTGAAGTCTAAATTTTCCAATAGTATCTGGATGCAGCCTTTATGATGCAAGCTGAGACTGCATCACTCAGCAATGCAATGTCAGACTCAATGCAATCAATGGAGTGAGTGACGTCACTGTGACGGGTAGGGGTGGGGTTAGGTGAGCGCATTAAAAAGCATTGGATGCAGCTTAAATTGCACTGCACCAAGTCTGCAGCCAGACCCCTTTCGAATTTTCTGCCCCCATGAATTATTAGGCCCCCTGTTTATTTTTTCCCCCAATTTCTGTTTAACGGAGAGAATATTTTTTCAGCACATTTCTAAACATAATCGATTTAATAGCTCATCTCTAATAACTGATTTATTTTATCTTTGTCATGATGACAGTAAATAATATTTTACTAGATATTTTTCAAGACACTTCAATACAGCTTAAAGTGAAATTTAAAGGCTTAACTAGGTTAATTAGGTTAACTAGGCAGGTTAGGGTAATTAGGCAAGTTATTGTATAATGATGGTCTGTTCTGTAGACAGTCGGGAAAAAAAATGCTTAAAGGGGCTAATAATTTTGACCTTAAAATGGTGTTAAAAAATTAAAAACTGCTTTTATTCTAGCCAAAATAAAACAAATAAGACTTTCTCCAGAAGAAAAAATATTATCAGACATGCTGTGAAAATGTCCTTGCCCTGTTGAACATCATTTGGAAAATATATAAAAAAGAAAAGAAAATAATAATCATAATAATAATTCTGACTTCAACGGTATGCGTAAACCTCTACAGTGGTGATTGGAAACTACAACAAATGTCATGTTTGTTGTCCAAGCAGCAAGGAAGAAGTTGTTTGAGTTTATATTGCTTGACAAGAGATGTGCAGAACAGATTATGCATGTCAGAGATACAGTAAGCATGTCAAAAATACATATGCACACACACCAATATAATTTTAGCATTTAAATTGTATAAAAATATACATATAACAATGCTACATAAAAAATTTAAATGAAGTTAAATGCACAACTGAAAAATGAAGATAGCTGTAATTTTTGATGCTAATGTTTTGAAATTCTCTATGAAACATATTTTTATTTAACATGACGAGTCGAGGCCGGGTCCAGATGCAGCCAACACACAAGCCGACAACACAGTTGATTTTCATTGGTGCTGGTTCTTTGGCATCGACTTGGTGTGTCCTCCAATAGTATCTGGATGCAGCCTTGATGATGCAAGCTGAGACTGCATATCTCAGTGATGCAATGTCAGACACAATGCACTCAATAGAGCTAGTGACGTCACTGTGAGGGGTAGGGTTATGCCGAGTTCAGACTGCATGATTTTCAAAATAGTCGTGTCACAGATGTTTTCACACTGCATGACTATCTGGGCTAGCGTTTCATCACTGCTTTGTTTACACTGCAAGATGGTTCGGCGACATGGACATTCACATTGCATGACTTTACTATGGGGAGAATCGCCGACAACTTCGTCCAAACTACGTCTCACAGCCAAAAACATGTAGTATATCTTTTGTTATTAACTACGTAATGAGAAAGGAGCCTTTAATGGGGTCGAACATGTACATGTTTGCTCACCTGGGTTTAAAGGGAATTAGCCATTTCTCCTTAACGTTGATAATAAACTAATTTCTTTCTGTATGAAACGTCAAACAGACACGGTTGCTCCTGAGTCCTGTCAAACCTCCACTAGTTTTCCCTCCATTTCGTGGGTCCAAATAAACCAAAAAAGAAAAAAAAAAAACTTCTCCCCCAGCCTCCCGCTGGCCTGCAGCAGGTATACACACACGCACTAGTGAAAGCTGCTCTCTCATTGGCTGTAGGCGATGGCTGATGTTATTTTCAGTCAAAACTCAATTCACACGGCATGATTTGAATCGCCGACAGCTCCAGATATTTAGCATGCCAAATATCTCGCAGGCATCGGCGACTCATCGGCGATTCTCTCAGATCGCGTCTTTGATCGTTCATACTGTGTGATTGTCACTCACGTGCACGAGCAGCGATTTGCCTGTGATTTCAGGCATTTGTCGGCGATTTCTCAAAACCTGTCGGCGAGCCAAAATCGGGGCTAAAATCACGCAGTCTGAACTAGGCATTAGGTGAGCACATTAAAAAGCATTGTATTTAGTTCACATTGCACTGCACCAGGTCTGCATCCAGACCCATCTCATGTCCTGGTCTTAAGGCCTAAACTATGTCTGGTTTAAGTTGGTTAAACATGGCTTTTTTATTTGGTCTCAAACTTTTTGCTTCATGAAGGGCACTGTTTAAAAATAAATGTTACCACATATTTAAAGAATAAACAATTACAATTGCACTTAAAAGCATTGTGTGACACTACAACAGCAGTATTTGCTAAACTATCGAGAGTTTAGTCTTCTGCCATGGCAATTGCTGAGGAATGATGCGGGAGGTGTGATATAAAGAGCATACAGAAAGTCAGCTATCAGTGGTTTAACATTTTCAATTTCAACATTTTGTCTCCTGATTCATTCCTATGAAATGTGTAGTAAATTATAGCACTTTTAGTTAATTTACTTAACCCAATCCAGACTCCCTAAATGAAGTGTATTGTATGTTTACATTATACAAATTTTATACAAAAAATTACAAAAATTAAAATAAAAGTACCAGAAAGGTCATTTTAATTGTCTTGACCAGTGGTCACCAAACTTGTTCCTGAAGGACTGGTGTCCTGCAGATTTTAGCTCCAACACTGATCAAACATACCTGAACAAGCTAATCAAGGTCTTACTAGGTATACTTGAACCATCCAGGCAGGTGTGTTGAGGCAAGATAGAGCTAAACCCTGCAGGGACACCGGCCCTCCAGGACCAGGATTGGTGACCCCTGGTCTAGACAAATAAATGCAATATTGACAGAAGCGATTAAAAAGATAGTAATTTTGTTACTGAAAGATACCAATCTTTTAGTTCAAATAGTACTTGCTGGAAACAAATGTCAGACATAATTCTGGTTTCTACAGATCATTCTAGAACAGATGAATAAATATTTTGGGTGATGCAATATCTTTAAAACTTCAAAAAGGTTCAAAGTCAAAAAGGTTTCACATTTAAAATTTTTTGTCAAATTGACAGAATTGCTAAACATAAACATTGTTAATGAATGATTTCTTTTTAATGACATTTTAATGAAACTCTTACCATTAACCAACAGGAGTAATAACACGCACAATGAGATTGGAAACCTCATTGTGGGAGACTGCTCCTGGAGACGTCAGAGTGATCTGTAAAAATGAACACAAAATATATAGACAAATGCATTAATGGTCAAGAAAGATTTATTTAATTATTCATTCATTCATTCATTTTCTTTTTGGCTTAGTCCCTTAGGCTCGAACTAGTAACCTTCTTGCTGTGAGGTGATCGTGCTACCTACTGCGCCACCCAAGGTTTATTTATTTATTTTTAAATAATTCCATGCAAAAGTCAACCATTACGTGAAAAAAGCTAAAACTTTCCTAGGTTTTTCGTATAGGCTTGTATTTTACAGTGTAAAAATATTCAAAAATGTCTCTGTAAATGTTTTCAAACATTATATTTGATTAAAAAAAGTCACACGGGTGCCAATTTCACATTTGCCACAACCACAACCATAACAGAGAGGTTTCATATCTTCATAATTGCTAACATGTAAAACAAAATCAATCATGTTTGTTTTATATAGTGAATTTTTATCCTTTTGGTAAGCCTTGTTTCTTTTGGGCTGGGCAGTTTAAATCACATTTCTGCAAAGTATGTGGTTTACTGATAACTTGCAGACTTTTCTGGTCACATCCATAATGCATGTTTATTTTCCTCATTTAAAATCTAAAAAAAATGTTTACTGATTGGTCTTTTTCTGATCCCATAACTGTGGTTAGATATTTTAGAAAATATAATGTGCCAATACAATGTTAACATATACAGTTGAAGTCAGAATTATTAACCCCCCTGAATTATTAGACTGCTTGTTTATTTTGGTAACACTTTATAATAGCTACACACTATGAGACATTTATTAAGTATTATCATATAGTGAATTAATGATTTGCTAAGCATTGTATATATTAGTAAGCAGTTTATAACTACAGCTACAAATGCTCTATTCTTGACTTATAAACAGATGTGTAATGTGCTTAATGGTTATGTTTTTATACTTTGTTAATGATTTATTTTTCATGACTAAATTAAATAATGCATTATTTACAAACCATTTGTATTTATGTGTAGTTGATGGTTTTTAAGATCATTCAGAATGAGTCAGTAAATTATTAATAATTGTAATAAAATCTATTTTATTATTCAGGCATATGCAATGGTTACTATGTATGTTAATAAATGCTTCATTAACTCAACTTCATACAGTTTATGACCTCTAAAATGAGAATTTATGCTTTATAAATCCCTTATAAATGACAACTAAAGGCTTAGTATTAAATGAACAATAATCTTTACAATCCTATCTAAAAAATAAAATGACTGTACAATTACTGTAAAAATTGGATAAAACAACAATATAATAATTTAACATTCTATTATGATATGACATTGTAATGTCATTTAGCGCCGTTTAAACTATACAGCAATTTTGTTTAGAGAATGTTGCAAATATTTATTTTTCAATTGATACAGATTCATTTGTGTATCTTCAAATGAATAGAAAAGACTAATGTCGTCTATGTCCTTTTTTCCTGTTTAGAAATTAACTGACCCTTATAAAGCATAAATATAAAGCATTAAATATAAAGATTTATAAAGCATAAATAATCCTCACTTTAGATTAGGTCACAAAAGTGAATGAAATTGAGTTAATAAAGGTTCAAATGACATATTAACATAAAAATTAACTATTAGTATATGCCTAAATAATAAGATATATAAATGTTAATTTAACTTCCCTCAAATAACTGGTTTGTAAATTATGCAATACTTAATTTATGAATTAAAAAAATAATAATTAACAAAGTATAAAAACTGTATCATTAAGCACATTACACAATTGCTTATAAGTCAAGAATACAGCATTGGTAGTGGTAGTCATAAACTGCTTACTAACGTTTATTCATGTAGAGTTAATGCTTAACAAATAATGGATTTACTATTTGCTAATGCATAAAAATTATTCATAGTGTGTAGTTTTGAACGGCTTGCTTGTGCAGCCCCTTTAAGACACTTTTGCACATTGCCCCTTTAAGAGCCTTTGGTGCATTGCCCATGAGTTTTTTCGTATTTCCGCTTTCTTACAGACGTTTTGGCCCCAACGGCCTTCCATACCGGTACTCTTCTGCGTGACGCAGCAGAAATGAAAGTGAAGACGGCGAACCGATCAAAGCTGGTTTAATAATGTGTGCGTTCCTGTTCTAAAGTGAGTAATCAATTCCCATAATATTCATCAGAAACAGTTTATGGATCACTCTATGCCTTTAATGACTGAAGTTATGAGTATTTAGCACACCTGCTTAACTAGTGATCGTTTATGACGTCTGTAATGACGTGCGCTGTCAGATAACGGGCTTAATCCTACTCCCAATCATTCTGTATTTATTTTAGATTGTTTAGTGTTTAATCCAATACCTGAAATGTTCATTAGTGTTAGGTCACCTGTATCATTATAATCAAGAAAGTGTAAAGGCTTCAGCCACCATTGTTACTGATATTACAATTATTGTACATTGTTATAGGGATATTTCTATATGTCATGTTATTTGACATGATTGTACCTGTAACTTGAATTACTTATATATTGCTATTTAAATTTTTAGATTGTAGAACCACATACATTCCCCATGATCATCATTAGTCATTACTCCAGTAAAGTTTAAGAAGAAGACAGAACTGTGTCTGACTGGATTCTTGGGTTCTAACCAACAAAAAAGCTGCTACTACTGTATCTAAAAATGAACTCTAAACATGTATAAAGCATAACCATGTAAAAAGCAATACAAAGAGCATTTTCTTTGTTGTTATTCTAGATAAAATGAGCTAATAATAATAATTATTATTATTATTATTTATTTTTTTATATTTTTTAAAGAATAAGTATAGTCAGATGAGATGAACGAGTAGTAACTTCACCTGAGTTGCTGCTGCAGAGTAAATCAGAATGACTCTCTTTTCATTAGTTCAGCCAGAACACAGTGAAGCTGAACTGCTCGTTTAGTGTTATTGATAAATGTGGGTGGGCCATTACGAGAAACCATTCTTAACAATAACTTTGAACCAGTTTTTCCATTAGATGAATCCATGGCATGCTGTGTGTTTACTTGACTTTTAATGCTTTTACTTCCTTGACTTTTTAAAATCTAATTGTGTGCAAACCTTTACTGTCCATCTAGTAGTTAAATTTTATAGTTATTTTGTCATCTGACAACAGTCTGCTGTAATAAAGCATACTGTTTTACAATTATTTTTTATTTGAACATATTTTTTTTTTTTTTTTTTTTTACAAAAAAAGCAAATAATACTGTACAAGCACACACATTTAGACACCATCCATGCATTACAGTGTATCTTTAGATCATCTTCAACCAACTCACCTATAGAGATGTCTTTTGACTGTGGGGGAAACCGGAACACCGAAAGAAAACCCACAAGAACACAGAGAGAACATGCAAACTAAAATTACATGTGAATGTTCAAATAATAATTAGCATAGAAGCAGTAGTTTACTGCCTATACTGTGAGAATAGTATGGTAAATTACATATCCACATGTAAATTGTAAGTCATTGTAGACTGGCAACTTTTTGTTTAAAACAATTTTTTCTATATTTCATACTGTATATGGTGAGTAAATGAAGTCACAAGACAAAAAAGGGGTTTGTTTCACACAGAACTGAAAATTCTGTAAGCTGTAAGTTGGCTTGTGTGTTGAAAATTCTACTCTCACCTCACTTGTTCCAAACCTGTTTGTCTTTCTTTCTTCTGTTGAACACAAAAGAAGATAATCTGAAGAAAGCTGAAAACTTGTAATCAATGATATCTATAGTGTTTGTTTATCCTACTATGGAATTAAAAGGTTACAGCTCTCTTCAAAATATCTTATTTTGTGTTCAACAGAAGAAAGAAATTCACTTCCAATTATAATTTTTTTTACCTGTTCAAACTGCTTATTTAAAATGAGCTGAAACAACACAGTTGTTGAGACTTGCATTTTAAAACTTAAACATGATTTCAAAAGTTCACACTTCGCTGATTATAAAGCATGTTGGGCATGCTGTTCCAGGAGAGAGCCCTGATCTCATAATAGAGCTGCACGTTTTCTGCACGTCTCGGTAACCTTAAAAAATCTGTCTATGAAAACAGCCCTGCTGATTGCATTGGCATCGTTAAAGAGAGTTGGGGATATGGAGGCATTCTTGGTCAGCGAATCGTGCCTGAAATTTCCCGGCTATGTGCCCAAGGTTTCTACCGCTGCATTTCAAGATCAGGTGGTGAACCTAAAACCTCTGCCTTCAGAAGAGGCAGACCCAGCTTATTTCTTGCTTTGTCCCAATCGTGCTTTGTGCCTTTACGTGGAACGAACACAAAACTTAAGATCTTGTGAACAGCTCTTTATCTGTTATGGTGATCGGCAGAAGGGAAGTGCCATATCAAAACAGAGGTTGGCCCACTGGATAGTTGGTGCCACCGCCCTCGCTTGTCAATGCCAGGATGAGTCACTGTAGAACACTAGAAGTGTTGCCTCCTTCTGGCGTTAGCACGTGATGCCTCTCTCACAGATATCTGCAGTGCTGTGGGTTGGGTGACACCTAACACATTTGTGTAACTTTATAATCTTCGAGTAGAGCCTGTTTCCTCTCGATTATTGGGTAACCCTAGTCAATCGTGTGAAAATTAAGCTTGGTGGCAAAAACGCTTGCAGTGCACAAACAATGTCCATAAAGTCACAGATGATATTAGTGTGGAGGAAACTGACTGGCCTGCACAAAGTCCTGACCTTAACCCAACTGAACATGAGAACAGGCACTGTGAGGCCTTCTCATTCAACATAAGAACTTGACCTAACAAAAGTGCTTCCAGACCACTGGTCAACAATTCCCACAAACACATTCATAAACCATGTTTAAAGAGTTGAAGCTCTTTTAAATTACCTTAGATTCAACCTTATTTTTATTTATTTCCACAGAGCTTGTCAAAGCAGCTTACACATTACACATGTACAAAGAAACAAAAAGCAGTTTAGCTATAACCAGGAGTGCAATAGCTGCAAGTGCAGGATATATAGTGTTGAAAATAATTATTAAACACGTCACCATTTTTCTTAGAAGTCATATTGCTAAAGGTGCTTTTGATTTGAAATGTTCACTAAATGTTGGTAACAACACATGCAACGAAACTAATAAGAAAACTAAGAAAGAAAATCTAGCTGTGGAATGGCCCAGTCAATCACCTGATTTGAATCCAAAAGAAAATTTAAAATGCAGACCAGGGCTTCGCCCAAAATTGCTTAATACTCAGTAGGTACAGCATTTGAATTTAAACATGCTACTCGGTCATTAAAAAAACTATGTTCTATAAAGTATGAATGGAACTCGGATGTACTACATCAGCCATTTTGTAATCATCATGTGACCTATCTGCGTCAGCTGCGTCACTTAACTCCTATTCATGAATTCTCTCGTGGTGCATCGTAGGATCGTGTAGTGTCCATTCAGTGCGCACTTCAGAATCTTGGCAAAAGTAGTAGATCATCCGGGTGCTTCTCACGTACTATTTTGCAAATTCTATAAATTCAGACATTGTACTCGGCTTGCATACTGTGTTTAGCACACTATAGTATGGAAGTATGCAATTTCGGACGCAACCCAGATTTAAAAGGGTCCTTTAGAAATTATTTTTTTTTGAGAAAAATGGTGACATGTTCAATTCTTATTTCCTCCACTGTGTGTGTTTTACGTGCAATTATAAAAATCTATGGATACTGTTTACAGATGGATGTAGTATGCAGATAATATACAGTAATGACACAAATCTGACAAACCCAATTTAACAGATAGTTTTCGTTGACATTGGGGGTGAGCTATCACAAATATTTCAGCCCAAAACAGAATAAAATCACTATATATTTATTAAGATATTCATGTTTTTACATTTTACAGAACAAAACAAAAGGAGAATTAAGACCCTCACTTGAAGAGAGTAGAATTAGGATTGTTCATGGCCCTTGGCTTCAATCCCAAGGCAAACTGACAGCTGTCAGCAAACAAACTTCTTCAAAAATCTGCTTGTTCAGCTTCACATTCACACTAGATCGGAAAATCCAGCATAACAACAGGGAATCATCCAGATCCTGACATGTGCCTTGATCAGCAGGATCGTCCTTTCTGCTGAAACACTGCAAATAAAGGGGAGACTGTGATGCACTTGCAAACTCTAAGCAGCAAAACAGTTTTATTATAAGCCAGCTTGAACTACAGTAGCACTATTATCTGTTTAAATAGCATTTAATCATGGACCCCTAAAGAAATAAAGAAATGATTAGTATTTAGGTCAGTATAGCTTTTGTTTTGTGGCTCTGTGCAAACAAAAAGCTCACATCAGACCTGTTCTGTGAGACTATTTTACAGTAAATGCATTGATGCGTACTTCCTGGTAAAAAAAGTACAGAGTTACACAAGTACTTTACGCAAGTCAACAAGTTTAACAATAGACTCTTGGTCATACCATGTTATTACCCATCTGTTAAATCAAAGTCATAGAAGTTTTCATTCAAATATTAAAAAAATGTGCATGAAATATGAAGTTTATAGCATAATATAATAACTTAGAAATATAGCAAATGTTTTCCCAGAGATGGGTTGCAGCTGGAAGGGCATCCGCTGCGTAAAATCATGCTAGATAAGTTGGCGGTTCATTCCGCAGTGGCGACCCCGGATTAATAAAGGGACAAAGCCGAAAAGAAAATGAATAAATGAATAAAAAATATAGCAAATGTATTAATGTACTCCTAAGTGGAACGGCAACCATGTGCAAATGCACGGATGAACAATGTTCAACAAGACCAACCACAATGCAGACTGAAAATATTAGTAACGCATCGCTGCAAGCTCCAAGGTAGATTTCCAGTCATGTCTTTCTTTGAAAACAAAATAAAAAACTAAACAAAACAGTACACCTAATGGCCTATTACACGTAGCACATTTAACAATACATCAGAGATCTAGAATGTACGGAATGAAGATCACATGACTTACTTGAAAATGAAGCATTACAGACTTTTCCTGTTCAACTGGGAGCACAGAGGTGTTGTGTCAACCGGAAACATGAGGATCGCATGTTTAACCATGAGACAGGAAAATGCTTTGGCTTGTTTTAACTGAAAAACAAACAAACAAACAAACCCAAAACATAAAATAAAAAGACTTTTTTACTCAAAAGGTGGCATTTTTCTCCCTATGCCACTTCTTCACACAAACCTTTAGTTGTGTTATACTAGTTGCTGGAGTCCATTATGTCAGTAGTAATGATGCTTTTAATTATGTTTGCATTAATTAACAATTAACTTATGTTCAATAACATAAGATATATTAATCGTAGTTCAAACTAGTTCCACAAAAAAAAAAAAAAAAAGTCAGGTTTCATGTGTCACATTAGTTGATGAGCTTTCATTAACAAGAAATAACATGAAAACATTAATGAAGCAAAAGAATGTAAAGATGTTTATAATGTTAATCATGGTTCAAAACTGTTAAACATTAAGGTGCATCATTTCCAACAGATAATAACATAAAATCAGCATATCAGAATGATTTTGGAAGGACTGTGCAACATTGACGATAACTTTAACAACACAAATATATGAATAGAATTTAAAACTTATACTAATGTAAATGTTTTTATTGAACTGACCAAATTATCCCAATTGGTCCAAAAAATGCAACCTTGTTGAATATTACAGGTTTTATGAATAATACATGGTCTGCACATTTACCAACAATATCTAGTTAAAATCATTTTGATAACTGGTGTAAAATACGTGAAGTGAAACCTCACCTTACCGGTTTTTGCCTCATATGGCGTGAGAGTCAATGGCATTCAAGTGATTCACACTAACACTGTGCTTCAGCTGGTGATTGACTCAGCAATCAGTTATCATAACCAATATCATCATAACAAATATTCAAAAACTACTACAGAAACACAAATGTATTCTACATTACATCATATAGCTCAGGTCAGAATAAAAAAACCTAGAGACATCCCTGGTCACCACTCCATCCTCAATCCTTGATGGATGAGGACCATCAAGCCACAGACTGCGCTCTGCA